CAGACGCAGCAGCAGGAACACTGTCGCTACAGCAGGACTCTCACCCTCTCGTTCTCCAACGACGTTTCATCCATCATAACTGCTTGTGCGGTACAGGGCCGTGGTGAGTCTGGAGGCTGTCCCAGTCAGCACAGGGCACATCCGAGATGGGACGCCAGTATGTCGCAGGGCACACCCGAGATGGGACGCCAGTATGTCGCAGGGCACACCCGAGATGGGACGCCAGGATGTCGCAGGGCACACTCTCACACATGCAATCATACACTCTCAGTAATCCAGAGACACTGATCCAACTCACTGTATGCTTTGGACTGAGGGCGGACACCTGCGCAGGCCTAGAGACAACATGCTAACTAGACGCACACAGCAGGGGCAGGACTCGAACCTCCAACCACAGAGCTGTGAGACCACCCGAGGAGAAATCATGGCAGCCCAAAGACTTCGGTTCCAGCAAAAGTCTTTCTCACACTAAAAAGTCTAGTTCAAGATCATTTTTTTCCTCGTTCAGCACTCTCTGTCACCCAAAAAGTAAAATGCAGTCCAGAACTATCCAGGCTGGGTTTCTTGATAGCTCAAATCACAGGGGAGGTCACTGAGGTCTACATAGGCACGTCTGCACCTTCAGGATTAAGGTAGACGCCGGTGTCACACAAGTCACACTAAAGCCCAATCTCAGGCCCAATCCTGAAGACTTTATAAGTGATTCAGAAGGGGGCTGGACTTGTGCATCCAGAGGGCCTTTGTCCTTTCACAATCCACTTAACTGTCTATTTGTTCTCAGCGTATCCATTTTAATGCCGGTCCTTGGCAAGGGGGCCTGAAACACAACACCTTGACACCGTAAGTCGGTTGCATCACTCTTTCCTGGTGGGAAGACTCTTACAGACTAACTGTTTGACCTTCAAGCCCACGGACATGTTAACTGTACTGAATCTAAATAAAACATGTCCGGCTTATCAATAGGCTGCTAGCCAAGGTATGTGTCAAAGTGAGACCCGAATACTGAATTTCATATTTCCTGAATTAGGTCAGCCTTTCTCCTCTATACCCATTCTTCAAGTAGCACAAGAGGAAGCTGGAGACAGCTGCAAGGAATGAGGATTTATGGTCCTGAACCTTTGTGCGCCCACCGTTATTTAAAAGCTGCGCCGTAATTGTCAACGTGATTGATTGGATGTGGCCCCTTTCAGACGGAAGAGAGAGCCTGCTTGGATTAGAAGGTCTAATTGTTTGTTTACGTCAAAGCATACCACTGCATGCAAGTGAGGTCTCTCTGCACCAGGCATGGGATTAAGTGCCTGTTAATACAGCACCATCCTTAAAGGCCATCTTGGGTTGTTTTAAAAAAAATGTGCAAGAAGTGTCAAGCAGTTTGGTCTAAGAAAGAAACGTGAAAACACAAAACACCATCAATATACCTAATAGGTGCATTGTAGATACAACCAAATAATCTGTCCGCTTGATTTCTTTAATATTTTTTGATCCATATTTACCTCACTGTTCTATCACTTTGTAGAAATAAATTGAAGCTAAACATATAATAAACTAACCAGAATATATAGTAATTTATTATCATACCCAGCCAGGTGACATAACAGCTCTATCTAAGTGCAGAAGCTGAAAATATCATTTAGACACAGCAAATTGCATGCATGACAATTACAAGAGCAGGTTGAGGACAGACTGGAAGAACCTTCTCCCTTCCTGGCCGTTGGTCTCTGACTGAGACCTGTGCTGCATTCCGCCTGATACAGCCACGAGCCCTGGGGAGAAGATCACCGTGTCCTGAAAGGTAGCAGCCCAAAGCAGAAACAGCTTCAGTGTTAGTGACATCACCACGCCATTCAGGGGCTATCTTACTGCTCCTGCAGTCACACTCAGATGTGGGCTGCACTGGCAAGTTCAAGAAAGTCTAATAAAAGGAAGAGGAGTCTGATTGAAATTAATTGGTCTCTGTAGGGCTTGTACTAGCAGAGCTAGTTGTGACTCTGCTTCAGGTATGTTTGTGTTGGTCTCTTCCTTCCAGAAATGCACAAGCAATGAGACAGTAGAACTGACACGGGCAATGATGTTCACGCTGCACTGCAACACAAAGATATCTCAGAATGAAAGGCGAAATGCAATTCCCTAGAGTATCCATGTTTTAAAATGATATTTCACCTTGATATTTGATGTTCCTTGAATTTTTACACTCCGTAAGAGAGGTATCGTCCTCTAAACCGGACTTCAGGACATACTTGGTTTGCCTAATGATTTAGGGTGAAACAGTTCACCTTATTAACATCTCAGCACTTCAAGACAGATTTCTGGAGGTGAAGGGAAACTGCAGAACTGATAAATTACATCAAAACATATATCCATCCATGCTATAACATGACCTACATCACCTATGAAAGATGGATGAATGATGGTCAGACGGACATACAGAAAGACAGACTAGATTGACACAGACAGACAGACAGACAGACAGACAGANAGACAGACAGACAGACAGAGATAGATAGATAGATAGATAGATAGATAGATAGATAGATAGATAGATAGATAGATAGATAGATAGATAGATATACTTTTGGTATGGCTTCTTTAAAGGACACGGTGTCCTGCAAGCTGCGTGCTGTGACTAGTTACGGACAGATAGCAGATGACACTGAAAGAGGAGCGGCGCTCCAGAGAAAAGTTGATGCGGGGTGAATCGGCGGCGGCGCGGACATGCTGAGGTCGGCCTAACCAGCTCGCCTTCACTGTCACCTTTTCTGTTTCTTTATCAAAGCAAGGAAATCATTTTGGGTCCGAGAGCGCCGCTCCGTTAACGTGATTTTACAGTCTGCATTTGCTGAAGCGGGGGCTGCTATATAGATGTTCTACTTCAAAACGGATGTTGTATTCCTTTTTATGCAGATGTAGCCTAGCCCTCACGAAATCTGCTGTCCAGAAAAATAAACGTGAACATTAAAATGACATTCGTATCAATTAAACTGAATATTCACTATAAAGTTTTTTTTAGTAAAATACTTTAATATAATACAAGATTGCACATTGTTTCGTGTAAATGTATTTATAAATTATAAATTTGAGTTAAATACTGTACTATGATCTTTTTTCCCACCTTCACTTCTGTAGTGCCTCGAACTGACATAATCCTTAATGGTTTCGCTCTGTTGGGGCCCTCCACCAAGGACGTTACGCTATTATAATGGTATAATAAAAAGCATTTTATTATTTTTGCCATTTTTTTGTCACTCCATCAAAGTAAAATCCAAAATGCAAAAGCATTTTACTTTGTTTTAACTACGCCATTTGTTTAATTGTCAGTTCAATTTAGACTAATAAAGAACTAATTAAGTTGCACCATGTTCCTTGTAACGTTTTGACAGTCACATCTGTTTCCAATACCTTACACGTCTTTGGGCCTATTATTTATTAAGAATGGCATTCTTTGTTGTATGCATTACTGTGACCCATAACAATTGTAAAATCATAATCTCATAATGGTACCCTAATTATGAGTACAACTTATACGCATGAGACATTTGCTGGGAGTGACAAGTCTTTTCATCCTCAAAATATAAAACACTGCAAAAACATAATAAAACGGCACTTCACGGATTTCCAGGAGTAGAGCAATGTTGATGGCTGGTACGAATAATGTTTATGTATGCGTTATTTCAGCATGTTTTACATTTAGATTAGATCTGTTTGATTTGTTAGTCGTTCATTCCCCAGTGTACTGTCATAATATTTGCATTATTCTGTAGAATGAGCTCTGTTGAAGATACTGAGCACAAGGCGCTGCACAGCACAAGCATGAACATCTTAACATTCCTGTCAGCCCAGGAAAGCTCTGTGACCAGAGGCTTTTTGTCATATTACTTTTTCGACTCGGTCACCTTCTCGTCTGCCCTTTCACCATTTACGGAGTTACACGTGTAGGTTTATTTTTTGTTAATAAATGTTGGCTAAACCTTACAAAAGCTTCCTTTTGCTCGAATCAATTGCATAATATTACCAGTCTTTGTTAAATAAACCAGAAACTGATTTTAATGTCCCTGGCTCTCAAATTAAAATACATGCAGTGACAGTCACCTTATTCAAGTTAGGTTTGACAAATGAAACTGGGAAGTATCGTTTTATTCATGCTGTATGGTTCACTAATAAATGAAGTCGGCTAATTCATTGCGTACTTATTAAAGTATCAAACACAGGTGAGTTTCAAAACTACTGAAAAGATCAGGGGCTAAGTCAAGTTTACCCGGGGCTTGACTTTTTTTGTTTTTGAAGGAAGACTGGCATTGGGGCTAAAATACTCGGGGCTCGGATTAAAATACTCGGGTTATAGCCCCGAGTGAACGAACCGAACGACACCCATGATCAAACGTATATGATTGTTATACTTAATTACGGAATTTATGTGACACACTGTCCTAAACAATCCAGAGTAAACTTAACGTGAGCACTGCTGCGACGTCTGAAGCGATATAACGGGTGCATATACTATAATATGTTATTTTATATCAAATTTACCGTACCGTTGCTATTTAACTCAAAAAGCCAAATAGTGTTTTGAAAAGATAAAGGAAAAAATCCTACATCATACGATTATCTATAATTATGAACATTCAATTTCGAATGCATTGCAGAATGAAACGATGATATGATTCCATTTTTGAAGTTGTTACCCTGGTTGCCATTAATCACAATATATAAAAAAAATTAACAAGGAAGCAAAAAGGTTCCAGGAAGGACTCGCAACAAATCCCTAATGCCGTTTATCACAGACAGGTAAAGCTTAATTCTTCAAATGACATAAACCTATCTGAGTCCCTGGTCCTGCGCGAACCTTATTGGTCAGGAATTCATAAAATGTGGGCGGGCTTACGTATGTTGCATTGCGCCAGCCTGTGTCGTGGGTGGACGGCGTTGATCGACGTCACGCTGTGAACCAATCCACATCGTCGTTAACCTTTCGCGACAAGCCCATATCGAGAATACTATAAAACTGTACTGACAGTGCTGTCTGTATACTTTGCGTGTGACAAGGAAGAGCGAGCTACGGTCGTGGTACAGATTTTCTTCATTTATCGACTGATAGAAATTTGCAACATGAAAGCAATAAGCCCTCAGAGATCCTTCACAAAAATGAGCATCAGTGTCTCGGATCAAAACCTGGGAATATCTCGGAGTAAAACCCCAGTGGACGATCCCTTGAGTCTGCTGTATAATATGAACGACTGTTACTCCAAACTGAAGGAACTTGTCCCCAGCCTTCCTCCAAACAAAAGCGTTAGTAAGATCGAAATCCTGCAGCATGTCATCGACTACATCCTGGACCTTCAGATTGCACTTGACACCCATTCCGCGATAGAAAGTCTACAGCACCAGCAGCGCCTGGGGCAGGCTACACCCCGCACTCCCCTGTCAACCCTCAACACAGACCTGAACAGTCATCCGTTGCAGGTAACCCGCTGCAGTCATCTTAAGAACTGCATAAATAAATAAAGTACTAAAGTCATACCGCATTCGTTGTTAAATTTAACTATCTCCCAATTCAATACTTTCTTTCCAGCCTCCGGAGATCTCCACGGAATTAAACAAAGATGACAGGAAGACGCTATTTCGTTAAAATTGTAAGTACTGCGCATGTAGGCTACCTCACAGTTAATTGCCTAACAAATTAATTTATCTTGTTTTCTTCACGCAAATGAAGGTATTGTGTGATACTGTAGTTTACGCAACAGTGTAGACCTCCGATCGCGCTTTACAAACAGGTCAGTAAACTGACGTGCTTTCAATAATCGGAAAAAACACTACTTTGACCTAGATGGCAGTTTATATATCCATAACATGTTCTATTGCATTTAATAGTCTTACTGCGAATTTGTGGTTGTTTATACTACATCAGGCGATATCGTCATTTAGTTGGCGCAAAAAGAAACCTGGCACTAGCACTAAATAGGTCCTATGGTTAGATAGTTATGCGATCTCCGCCCGCTCGGTCTTACACATGAAGTTCTTTCTGCCCAGTGTACGGAGTGTTTGCTTAAATGTTTGAAAATATGCGGCTTCCTCCCCGGCGCCAGTCAGTCCGGGTTTCTGCCCAATTTGCCGTCTCTAAACACGCCTCTCCTTTACAATCTTTTGCAGGTGTTTGGTTTGGACTAAAAATGGACCTGACATGTTCTTCATTTTTGATCTAGTTTCTGCACTTCGTCCTAAATCGACTTCAGTTTTTTTTCTATTTTTTTCCATAACATGCCGTCTATGTGGTGTGTTATGTTGTACGGACAGTCACAGCTATTTATATAGTAGCCTATCTATGTCCTTTCTTCGAAAGAAAGGAACAAGCTTCTTTTTTCCCGAAAAAGGGAACTCAAAACAACCAAGTCACACAGAATCACCATCACAAGAAGTCTTTGCCTCTACAGAAGGTGGAGCGTGAACAAATGACAACTTTTATTGCTAATTTATAAAGTCTGCCATAAACTTTACTTGTTTTGTTTATAAGGGACATTTTAATGTGTATAAAATCAATGAACCCTTGTATATCTGCAGAAATTCTGGGCTGAAAATGTAATGCTGTACATAGACATGATGAAACTTTTTATAAAAGTTGTATTGTAAATTGTACCTTTTATAGAAAATAAATATAATGCTTTATTTGAGTATCAAGGACCATAAGGAAATTACTTGTACCAAGTTCACCATTGACTGTGCTGTACGTTGTAACCGGCATGCCTTTGAATACTGAATAAGGTTTTAGATTGCATTTATGATGTTAACTCGGCTGCTGGTTAAAAACCAGAACAAACAAAAAAATCTACCCGCGTTGCTAAATGAACAGGATCTGGATGTTAAGATTTTATGCTTAGATAATTATCTTACAACCAGATACGCAAACAAATGAGCGCTGCAGGTTAGCCACGTGGCCGACCCTTCGTCTTTGATTTCACTGTCCTGTAATATGTAGATAGAATACTTCAAAAAAGCAATGTTTGTGTCCGGTTTATGTTTGTATTATACGGGAAGTTTTACTCTGCACGGAAATCTGTTCGTGTAGCTACAGGGCACAGCTTGTGTTCAGTTACGTGGAAAGTGGGTTAATCAGGAGCAGTCTGGAAAGACCGCGATGATCGCCAAGGGAAGTCCCTCTAAGTGTGCAGGTGTTAATCGAGTCCAGCTTGGCGTATTGCCGGGTGAAGTACAGATCAGTTCCTGAGGGCAAACGGGGAAGTTGGCTAATAGACATTTCATGCTATGTGCTTTCATTTATTTTACATGCGTGATTGGCATTAATGTGTTTACAATATAGATGGCCTGACAGCTTATTTGAAACCAATAAGCATGTCATGACGAGCCGCAGTCAATGTGGTCCACCTATAGGCTACTTCCTGTTGGTCTTGGAACTGAATAAACTGGCTTATATTACGGTTTGAATAGAGTAACCAGGGGCCAATTAAATATCTGATACAAATTACAATTATTTAAAATAATGGCGCAATGTAGATAATGGGCTAATTAGTATATCCGTTGTTTTTTGTGCCGGAAACACAGACGGCTATCGTACATTTGTACGTGACAGTTTCGACAATGGATATTCATCAATGATTTGTCTGCATGCACAGGAAGGCCGCAGCACACAAGCGCCAAGTGAAAGTCATTTGAAGCAGGTTTTATGCGACGCGGACGCCCCCTGCCGCCTATCGTGCAGCGTTGCTGAGAAGTTTTAATTATCGTGGGAACAAGCTCATCTTAAGTTTTTCTTTCTGCGGGCGGTAAATATTTTTTCTTTGCCTTTTGGAGTTGACTGCTCAAAATAAAGACTCAGTCCTGACAGCACAACTCGTCTGTATTTTATCCGACGCACACCCGTTTTTGTTTGCAAAGGCTCATTGGTTCAATGGCAGCATCTTGAAATCGGTTTCCTAAGGGCTGCAGGAAAATAATAATAGATACTTCATTGATCCCCGTGGAGAAATTGTCTTTACGCCTCTCTCAACTTGTTCTTTGTAGAGTAAGCTGTCTGCAAAGGGCAGCCACCTGTTGGGACAACAGGAAGTGGGGGGTTCAGGGTTTTGCTCAAGGACCCACAGACATGCTGAGGCTGGGTTTGAACTGATGGCCTTCTGATTACAGGCACATAGGCTTAGCCCACTGAGCCACACACTGCCCCATGGAAGTGGAATTGTCTTACTGCTGCAACCTAAATATCAGTTAGAGATAAATTTCACTGATAAGAAGACAGGAAGCGACTACAGAGCCAACTCCACGAAGTGGACCAGCTCCGATTACTACAGCCCACGTGCCCCAAGTTAGAGCCAGTCTAACATATAGTCTCCATGACATAGAACATTTTATGTTTTGGTGCTTGTAGTCACCACCAAAATGAATACATGGATGTATTTTTTTAAAGAAAGGTTTCACCAGTGAGCTAGCTTTCACTGGTGTTATCTATGTAGAGCATTATGATAATATCAAGAGTGTTTCACATTCAACTGGAGATTATATGTATCGTGACATAGAGGCCTTTGACATCTATTTGGTAAACTTGTAAGAAAACATTATTTACTTAATGAATTCTTTTCAGAGATTTGCCATCATCCACTGATATGCCTGGGTTTTTACACAAGGACATGAACGGTGGAGTGTTACCATTTCTTGCCCTATTCACACGGCACAATACCATTTCTTGCCCTATTCACACAAGAGTTTACCTTTGTTTTAAGGATTTAAAAAAAACAGTCCTCAGTGTTTGGTTACACATTTATTAATCCACTAGTGAACACCTCAATAAATATGACAATCACAGCTCTATTAGAGATACTAATAGTCAAATACTGTCAGTTGAAAGAAATTCACAATGAAAGGTAGTTACATCATGGTACATGCAACAGATAAGCAAAGGCTAGCAGGTTCTACATAAGCCATGCAAATTCAGATCAGGGCTTGAAGTCCCTTTCTCTTCCATCAGGTTTTAGCACATCACAGTTACCACACGTTATATTCTAATGACACACATGCTTAACACTTGGGACACTTCCCATCAACACTACTAGCAACGACCAACGGTAAAGCCCTTCAACTAAGTTTAGGCAAAGGCATTAATGGGCTACCGAAACAGTTAGACGTCATTTTCATGCAACACTGTAGCACAATAACACTGGAGATGCTTGCAATGTCAAAGGAGTGACTACAATATGACCACACGGGCAGTTTCACAGAAGACAAACCTTATAGTTTTGTGTTGCCTACCACTTAACAAGCTCTTCGACAAACTAGGAACTCTAAATCTGCAAGTCAACGTGACATGGGTTACTGAATATCTTTACTTGCGTGTTTTCTAGCATGTGACACACAGGTCTGAAACTGGGTCAGTTGTTTTAAAGGTTTTTGTACCAGTAGTGTCCCAGATTTTTTTTCTTTTTAACTTTGAAAAGCAGCACCACAGGTTCACAGCAAAACTGAAATATAGCCCAATATTAAACCTGAGCAATCTACGCACTTATTTTTGGACTTCAGAACATTGAACTTTTATATTTAACATTCATTTTTCTACACATGCTGCTACAGACAACATAAATATGACTCTCCTGTAAATTCTTTTTTTTTGGGGGTCTTCAGAAGGAATTGTGCCACCTCTTTCTTGGGTTTCCATATGGAATCATTGGCAACTCTTTCTTGGGTCTTAAGAAATCACAGAATTCTTGGGTCTTCATAAAGAAACAAGAGAAATCGGTCTTGGGTCTTCATAAGGAAACATGGGAAGTTGTTTTTGGGTCCCCATAAGGAAATCATGGGAAGTCATTCTTGGGTCTTCGTAAATAATCATGGGAATTTGTTTTTGAACCTTTATAAGGAACCATGGGGAGTCTTTCTTGGGTCTTCATAAGGAACCATGGGGAGTCTTTCTTGGGTCTTCATAAGAAATCATGGGAAGTCATTTTTGGGTCGTTATAAGGAACCATGGGAAGTCATTTTTGGGTCGTTATAAGGAACCATGGGAAGTCATTTTTGGGTCGTTATAAGGAATCATGGAAAGTCATTTTTGGGTCTTTATAAGGAATCATGGGAAGACTTTCTTGGGTCTTTATAAGAAATCATGTTATCTCATTTTTAGATCTTCATAAGGATGGAAGGAAGGTCTTGGATCTTCATAAAGAATCATGGGAACTCTTTCTTCAGTCTTCTTAAGGAATCATGGGAAGTCGTCATGGTCTTTACAGATAAGCCTTGTCAGGAATGGTTTTTTAATAAGGTCACAGAAAGAGCACTCAGAGATGCTTAGGATGTTCAAAGGATGCTCTCCCGCTCCTCACCAAAGGTGACAGTCTCGGAAGTGACTGTGCGGATTTCTGGGGGGTCACCGGGGTTGAGGCCCCTCTTGAAGTGCACGACACGCACGTTGTCGTTTGGTGCAGTGGAAGCGTTGGTGCTGGTGCCTGAGCCAGAGCTGGGGGCAACAATGACTTCAGCATTGGAGCCCTCACTGGGCTGGCGGTGGGTGCCTTGCTGGGCATTGTTGGTGTTGTTGTTCAGGGTGGTATTGCTGGGGGTGCGGTTCAGGTTATACGTCCTGGAGGATGGCCAGCTCTCCTCGGGGCTGCTGGCCAGCAGGCTACACTGGTCTTCAGAGCAGATGGACATGCGGGCCACGGCAGGGTCCTGCAGGCCACTCAGGCTGTGCGGCAGGCAGGTAAGCTTTCTGGCAGCGCTCTCCTCATCCAGCTCAATCAGGCTGCTCCGCTCCAGCTGTGACAGGTCCGCCTCCTCATCCTGCAGGGAGTGGTTAGGTGAGCTCTCACTGGAACGCACTCCGGAGTCCGAGGAATCCTTCTTGTCCAGCATAGCATCTGAGAGGTACTCCTTGCCTTTGGCTAACGGGCGGGAGCTGCTGTCTTCTGGAAGTGTTGCGGCCTTGCCGTCGGTCTTATTCCCATCCCCAAGTAGCGGGGCATTGTCAGATTCCTCTGACTCTTCGTCGTCGCTGGTCAGCTTCTGGTACCGTGGGCCGGCGGCTGCCTTCAACTTGAGGTCGGCACCCTGGAAGATGCCAACTCTCTCGCCTGACAGCTTGCGGCCGAGCAGTGATCTGGAGGTGCTGTGGTCGGGCTTCTCATCCTCCTCCGTGATGGGGTCCAGCGGCAAAGCATCCGCTGCAGTTGGGGTATAATCAACAGCATCGCCAGGCTTGCCGGAACTTCTCTTCACGAAGGGTTTTCGGCCATCCTGCTCCAAGCTCTCCTTGCCCTTATCCTCTGAGGCAGAGTGTGCAAACTGGCCAGGATGTGGTTTCTCCATTGTGCTCCCAGTACCCTCCAACTGGGACATTTGGGCAATGTACTCCTGGTACGCATTACGGTACTCAGCCTGCTGCTTGTCGGTCAGTTTGCAGATGTCGTTGGAGGACTCCTGGGAGTTGAGGCTGGACATGCTGGGCGTCCTGTGTGTAGTGGTCTGGGTTGGGAAAGAAGTCAAACATCAAACAAATGATCAAATATTCAGTAACATTTAGCAGCCCACACCAATCCCCAATGATCAGCCAACTACAACTTCCTACACAGCAGCTAAAGGAACTGCAAGAAAAAGATCGATTGAATAAAGTAATACTAAATTCGTTAGGTGCAAATTATTACAAGTTTACATTAGCAGTTAATTCAAATAAAATGTCCTTGGTAAAAGGTATGGAATTTATGTTTTTAAGTCAAGCAAAAACTGCGTTTCCTGATGGTCGGTAAGTAATTTAAACAGAAACCTATACAGAAGTAGGTGTGTGTGTTTATTCAGAGTTGATCTCTATTAGTTTATCTTGGAGAGGCAGTTCATTTAAGTCCTTATCAACATTTTGCCCTCGTACGTCACCAGGTGCTAACACAGGCCAAGGCACACGCGTCTGGTCGGGTCGCTGTAAGTTACCGTCCATTGGGTGTTGTTGATTCGCTGGGGCTCCTCCAGGCCCACAGTGCTGAGCTCCTCGAAGCTTAGGTTGAAGCTGTACATGGGGGATGTTTCCTGGGTAGCTGCCCCAGCTTCGTACATAGAGCCATGGGGACGCCGGGCTGTCTCCCCATGGCTTACGGGGCCGCTACCCTGCTCGCTAGGGGCCCCATCGTGGAGTGTCTGGCTCTCTACAACACGTAACTCCATCACCTGCGGGGGGCAGCAGGGAGCCGATCAGGGAGCATTCGTCAATGTATCTTCTCCCACTCGTATGTCGTGTATATACAGCACAATCTTGGGATCAAATTGAAACAAGTGTAATGCTGAACCTAGACAGCTACAACCCATGGCCCTCTGATAAGTTGACATACATTAAAGTGAAAAGAGAACAGGAGGGACTCTTCACCTTACTAAACATTGGTCAGGCAAAAATGACCAGCCTACCATTCCCCGGAACAGCTGCCAGTCTCCGAAGTTCATGTTCATCTCCTTCTTGAGTTCATCCAGGTTGCACTGCGACAGGACTCTTCCATTCACGTTGGCCTGGGCCAGTGCAAAGAGGTCAGCACTCAGTTTAATGGAAGATTACAATGGACAAATACAAACGGGGCTTTAACAGCTGGCTGCAAGCTGGCAGCCTTTGTGGGTCTGCCTTCATGTTGAGCTGTTCATGCAAGTGAATTGTTTTGGTTTGGTTTATATGGGACAGCAAGGCTGTGGGCAGAGCTATATGGGCTTGTGGGTACATTTTTAATCACCAGATCCACAAGAACCGCAGCTCCCTCGACAAACAAATAAGCAAGATTATTACAATTCCTAGTGACTGAGTTCATCTGCAAATAGATAGAGTGCATACAGACACACGCACGGGGAGACAACTCATCACGGCCTAACCTCACCTTTTTGATGGTAGCCGTGTACTGTGCCAGCATGCTCTGGTCCATGCCCTCGATCTGCTTCATCTGCTCACACACGGAGTCCGTGTTCATGGAGCTCAGCATCACGGCCGGGGCACCAGATGCCACGGAGGCGGAGCCCTGTCCCACAAGCAGAGCCAATAAAAACGACATCAGAGACACATGTCACACATGGGACACTCGTGAGCCAGGCCACGGTAGGGACTGTTTTGTGTCAAGAGACACAGAGTTTTCTGGTTTTGCAGTCTAACCCAAAGCCTAGGTAATCAGAGAAAGGAAGCTGAACGTTGGAGCATTTAAACTACGTGAAATAAAACCTGCTACCGGCGCTGGGACCACAGTCTGCACTGAGCAGGTGGGGAGAAGGTTAACTTCAGCAGCCGCCTGGCATGCAGCCAGTCCACTGGCTGTCTGCGAGACCTACAGCACTGAACCAGTCAGTCTGAGCCCGGTGTATCGGTCAAGGGTGAGGCAAGAAATGCCTCCAATGAAAAGCCACCATGAGCCGTACACGTCCTTACGTTGCACATTTATTACTTAACAGGCTCTCCCATCCTTGTACGCATTTGCACGATAGCAGAGACGAGGGTGAACAGGTAACACTGTGTAATTAAGGCTTCCATCATGCTATTTTGTTTTACATTCTTCTGGCAGAGACTTCTCCAGGCCAAATGCTACATCTTATTTAATATTCTTTTGTTTCTGTGTAAATAATGGTAATAATCAGTAAAGAAGAAGGTGCTATTAAGTGGATCTTAAGCAATATTTATGATCTTCCTAAGCTATTGATAAACTAGCCTGCAAAACTGACAACTGATCTGTTTTACCATCTTGTAAAAGATGACCGGCTAACTTTAATATTCACTTCATTTTTGTCTGTAATGAATTTAAGGTTACTTTTTATTTTAAGAGCACCACAGAATGCAATTAGCGGAATAACTCTGACGTCATGTTTCATGGACCATCATGGCTTGGGGTAAATAACAACAACACTTAGCAAGCTGTGAGCAGTGCATGCTTGAGAAGGCCCAGTAATTAAAAAGCATCATTATAATTACCTTTTATTTAAAAGAACGAACAGGGGGAAAAAAAAAAAAACTTAGGGAGAAGGACTGGCTTTGAAATAAATAGCTAAAAACAAAAAAGCAACTGCAGAGGGCAAAAGGTTTGAGCTTGTCGGTCTGGGGGCCCCACAGCAAACGGCTTGGCAAGGCGGCGTGCAAACCTAAAAGCTACAAACTCATATGCGCAAAAACATTCAGCAGCATAATTAAAAGCAGCTTCCCCTGCTGACTACAATGTAATATGCAAAGTTCTAATGTTAAATGTATTACATTTGTTTGCAGGACAGGGTCAGAGTGGGTATGATGAAGACATTAGGACATTTCACAGGTAACACTCTACCCAGTTAGTGTCTACAACATAGCTCACTGCTGTGGCATTATCGCAATATCAGGGAATATTACCCTTGAGCTGGGTGGCTTAGCAAAGAACTGATGACCTCTTTTCAGATCACACTGACAGGACTGAAGCACATCCCACAATGCCTTGGGAAAAATTACATCATTAAATCACAGGTAAAGGACACAGGATAGGTCAGGATACATTTTGGTCTTTGACACACACTGTGAACCACCAGATGTTTTCCAGTAGCTACACAAAACCTTAGAGGCTTCTGTGCTGCTGAGAAACAACTAATAGGCATTGTGTGATGTACTTCGAACCTTCGTCCGTTAGGACAATGATTAAAACGGGTGCAACCTCAACCTGGAGGCATTTTCCAGCCTCTTACCTCCACAGAACAGATCCCTCTAGCTTCCTAATATGAACTCACTGCAGAGCAGAGCTCAAGTTACCTTAAGAGTTAGGGGCCAATCTGTGTTCCAGATAAGGCAACAGCTGGCGAATCAGAGTCAGCCTGGGAGCTGTGTGACGGTACAGAGAGCCCTCCACCGGCAAAGAGAGGCCACGTCGGCAATATGAAGGGTCAGGTAAAAAGCTGCTTAAGCAGGCCGTCGAAACGGGCAAAGCGAGCATGGTGGACACAACAGGAACTAGGAAGCCGAAACTGGACGGAAAGATTGACCCACCCACTAGAAGGCAAGATGGCGACCCTCAAATGACGGCGGTCAAGGTCGGCATCAAAGCCGTGTAGGTGGGCCAAACTCAGACCAGGTAACGTCCTCGATTCAGCTATAACTACTGGTTTAGTGACTAAATTCCTAACAGGGAATGTACTACACTTCCCCTAGAGCATGCTGGGAACTCAGTGGCAGGAAGATGACAGAGCGTGTTAGTTTTGAACTAAGAGAGCAGCAAAAACAAAAAAAAAGGCAGGAAGCTGGCATTTAAAAAAAAAAAAAAAAACTCAAGATTCTGTACCTGCTTGTGTTTGACAGAATGTGCCCTATTCTGCTTAGGAGGAGAAGGGAGGGAGAGAGAAAGAGAAAGAGGCATCAGAAAACATAAGGAAACCGATGAAAGTTTATCACGGAGGGTCAAACAATAGCGTTCATGTGGATGGACCTGCTGACATGGTCGAAAACTTCATTATGCAGTTGCAGGGGAAATTTTTTACATTTAATGATATTTTTGCTGATCTATCACCAGATCTCTGCAGCGACAGCAGGTGCTGTGATCCGATTGACTGCTGCAGGAGTGTCGTGATACACAGGGTTACCACGATAACCAGGAAGAAGACAGAAAAAAGTTGAAGTAGTCATCCAGAGCTTCGTCACTGATAAGGGGAGAGAGGCATTCAGGTACTGGGCTCCGGAGAAAAGGCGATACAATAAGACCAGAGAAAGTGAGGCATCATAGCAAGGGAAGAAGATGGGGCTGTACACACACACACACACACACACACACACACAGGACCCAAAGGGCACTGAGATCATTTTTTTTAGAGAAAAAACAAGTGTTCAGAAGACAGCAAAGATCAGATCATTATGATAATTATGATAATTCACAGATTCGCCACAACGTGAGGCCCAAGACACAAGGCAAGTGTTCCTATCCCAGAACGGCGAGCATAGTATCTACCCATCGGAGGCACCCCGTGATTTCTGCAGATGATTTTCTAAGCTTACGGGGCACAATGTCCTGACGACGTTCTGTGCTAAACGCCAGCCGAAGTTCCCACGTCTGCGAGCGACAGCTCTGTACTTACGAGTCCATTGCAGAGATCCCTGGGGAAGCCGGATTTAACGGATGGACGTGGCGGGACGTGATGGAAGCTGCCAATGTACTGCCTTGGCAGCTGATAAACATGATGGGGGAAATATGGCTATGGTCAGGAGACCCGGGGGGAGAAGGGAAACACAAATTTAGGAAACGGAAATAAAAACACACAATGAGGCTCAAATAGAGGAACACAAAATGAAAGCAACAGTATATCAAATGCAATGTGAAGCAACTGACCGGGGAAGAAAAGGAACCAAAAAAGAAACTATTTGGGTGGGGTTGGGGCATGATGATGGATATGAAGGTGGGAAAAGAGGGGGTGCATGATTATGGACGTGTGGTGCAGCATGATGGAAAGGGGGCAGGACAAGATGGACATGTTGGTTGTGCATGGGGGAGGATCATGATGATTGACATATGGGTGGGGTTAGGGGTGGGGCATGATGATGGACAGAGGAAGGGTACGATGATTGGCACATGAGTGGGACATGGGGAGGGGCATGTCTGGCATGTGGGTGGGGCACGATGATTGACACATGGGTGAGCCAAGGGCGCAGAAGCATGACAATGGACATATGGGTGAGGCATGGGTTCAGTTCCTGGGACCGGTTCAAGGAAAACGGCTTGGAGGGTACAGGCAGCTGGTCCACGTGAGGAGGGAGGCAGCCTGCTGTAAGAAAGAGAGAGGGGGTCGAAGAACTCACCCTGTTGTAGAAGGGGTGCTGGGGTCCTGTCAGGCCGCTGAAGTAGCTGCTGGGGGGCTGGGGCGGGGACACCACGCCGGCGGGGTTGTAGGGTCCGCTGAAGGAGGCGGTGGGCGAGCAGGCGGATGAGTGCTGGCTGTACACGGAGGACGCGCGGGGTGGGGCGTCCTGCAGGGGCAGCGTGGGGTAGGCCACACCCCCCATGTGCATCTGATCCCTCGCAGCACGCACGTCTGGGGGAGTGGGGGGGAAGTGGGAGGGAAGTGGGGGGCAGTGGGAGGGAAGTGGGGGGCAGTGGAGGGGGGGGTTCACCACGGAAACAGATCCTCAGTTTCCGCTGTCACGACCACTCAGGAGATAAACTTGTAAAGAAGCAGACTTACAGAAAGTATGCTAACAGTGGAGTATTATTAACGTTCAACAATAACAACATACAATAATAAAGATAATATAAGCAATAACAATATTATAGATACTTGTTTCTAAGGTTTTAAGCTATATACGATGGCCATGACTTTCTGGAAATAAACTGGGGTGTAAAGTAATATACAAATAGTCTTGTTACTTTGAGTGTTTTTTTCCCAAAATTTGTAAAAGTAGCTGACATTTGTGTACTTTTACTAGAGTACTTTTACGTGACATGTTATAATGTTAGTTTTACTGTGCTACTTATGCCTTAGCCAATTATAATCGAGCACCTCTAACATCAGTGCATTCCTGCAGCAGGTTGATTAGTTAAAAAGGCAACAATCCAGTAATCATGGCGCTCATAGCAGGAGAGGCCGTGGCTACAGAACTAGCATGCCCCAGAAAGGGAATAGCTCTGTCATGTCATCTCAGCTTTGCCTGATATATCTGTAATCAAGAATTTGGTCTCTAATTTAAAGAAACATAAAAATATAACATAACAGTTTTAGTACTTAACAGCTTTATTACACAATTTCAGCCTGCCTAGCTAGCCTAGCATCATACACCCAGTTCTCAGTGTGTGATAATTTAGCATAAACATTTTAACTGCAACTGAATCGTAGCTAGCTTGGCTAGCTAGCTAGGTAGTTTGTTGTAGGCTTTTGCTGCTATCACTAGGCTGGTATAAGGATGCTGCTGGGTGTGTGTGTGTGAGTGTGGATTAGGTTGATATTACATCGCGAGGAACAAATGTTAAGGTTAGGGCTGGGTAGGGTTAAGGTCATCATGTTGTGATAAGAGTTTTCCCCATATGAATGGAGAGTCCCCACAAAAATATAATTACAATTCACTACCATTCATATGGGGAAAACTCTTATCACAACATGATGACCTTAACCCTACCCAGCCCTAACCTTAACATTTGTTCCTCGCGATGTAATATCAACCTAAACCTGTGTGTGTGTGTGTACTGTAGATCACATTTGAGGACCAAATTGTCCCCAAAGTGTAGTAAAACCTAAAATTTCCCTACTTTTGGGGACATCTTTTGAGGCCAAAAGTGCCGTAAGTCTTGTATTTGGGTTAGTTACTTATGGTTAAGGTTAGGGATGGGTAGAGGTTAAGGGTGTCGTGATTGGGATTATGGTTCTGCCCATAGAAATGAATGAACGGTCCCCATTTAGATAGGAAGACCAACTTCCTATCAGCTCATTCTGATACAGCAAATTGAAAATGTAGGCTCGGGGTTGGTAAACCTATAGCAAATCTACATTATTGTAAATTTGAGAACTTGAGATTATTTATTTATTTATCTTGCACCTGAAGACACATTTTAGTTGATTTCTGTGTTGGTGTACATTTCCGTTTTGTTTTGATCTAGGTAGTTGCATTGTTGCACAGATAATACCATACATGCCATTGGCTCAAGCTGTTAAATTGGTGCAAGGCCTACTAGAATTATATTTTACTTATTTTTTAAATGAGTCCAAGTAGTTATTAAACTGCAAGAAAAAAAACATTTTGAATTGATTTGTAACATATTTAGTACTTGTACAAAATGCACAAAAACAAAAATACAAAAAGGTCCCTTATAAAACTAACAATACAAATTACATTAAATTACATTCATTTATTAAGCAGATGCTTTTATACAATTGACCCAGCAGGGCTGGACAGACCCTGGAGCAGCTGAAGTTTAAAGGCCTTTTGCTCCAGGGCGTCACACTGACATAAAGCTAAACTGAATGTTTACAGGCCCATGGAGTGAAGTTTCTGCAAACTTGCATTAATGTAATGTGAGAACATACCAAATTTTTGTACCTGAGGGTAAACCCCATTTTCAGTTTATTTGCATGCTGGTGCACTTTTCCTATTATTTTATACAAAGTTATACATTAAACATTGCACTGTAATATTATATGTGCCTCTGGCTGATGTTGTGAAGTTTGTGCATCTTGAGTTTATTGATTGGGGGCCCTAAGCACATAAAATACTGCAGTGGAACATTGAGTTGATTAATGTTTAGTGCTTTTTTAACGGATCGAATTTTACATGTAAACGGCTGTATTGTTGCATTAATTGCAAGTTGAGATTGAACAGTCACAGGATGCATTTCAGTTTTTCAATTTTCTTCTGAAAAACAAAAGGGAAGGTTAATTTAAACGTGTGCACTATATTTGAAAATTATTTGTAAATTATTTTATAAGGGGGGAAAACTCAATACTACTATGAGTACTTTTTAAACAAGCTTTTAGGAGAGGTAATTTTAATCTACTCTCAGCTATTTTTTTGGAAGTAGCAGTGCTTTTAATTGAGTAGGTTTCAGAAGTGGTAGTTTTATTTTTTGGAAGTAATAGTACTTTTTAATTAAGCAGGATTTTCAGTCTTTATCCACACTTGGAAATTAACCCGATAACTTTCATGAAAACAGTGAAAGTTCTTGTATCCGGCAACATATAGTACTAGTTTTAGTACATCCAGATAGCTGGATGTTATTTTTGTAAAGAAAAGAAAAACATTTCTTACACTTACTTTAGTTATTTTATAATACAGAACCAGTCAAAAAGTTTGGACACACCTACCCATAGAATGCTTTACTTGTAATATTCTCTACATTTTGGAATAAAGTCCATCAAAACTATAAAATAACATATATGGGATTATACACTGTAGTAATTAAAAGTATTAAATTAATTTGTGGGGGCAGCTCTGTAGGTTGGGACTCAGAAGGTTGCTGGTTCAAACCCTGTGGTTGGCAGGGTGGTCCCACCACTGGGCGCTTGAGCAAGGCCCTTAACACCAATTACTCCAGGGACTGGCTGACCCTACTGTCTCCCCTACACCAGTTTCAGGAGTTTTTCCTGGGATACTTTTCCAGTCGTCCTGAAGGTCCCACATATGCTGAGCACTCATTGGCCGCTTTTTCTTCAGCCTCTCGTCAGACTCTTCCAAAGCCATCTCTATTGGCTTTAGGTCAGGTGGCCAGGTCATGTGATTCGACACTATCACTCTCCTTTGTAGGCAGTTTGGCAAGTCCAAGTTTTTGACTGGTACTGTACACTTACTTTCACTGCAATGTTACTCGATAGAAGTCAGATATTTGATACAACACAGGAGACTGCAAGGTAAATCATGGCCGAACAAGCGGAGACTCCTATAGCGTGCCACTCCATAGGCATGCGCAGGAACTGAAATTTGTATTGTGTAATGGTTTTCTTTGTTATTTTTAGTGGAAGTTTTTAATAGAACGGTGTTATTACTTGTGAATTTTTCATTTTTATACTGATATCATTCACATTGTGCCAGTTACTTGAATGCTGGATACGAGAGCTTTTACTGTATGTAGGGGTGAAAGCCGCACCCAGAGGTCCCACACCAGCCTCCCAAGGACCTTCACACAGAGGCTCAAGCGCTCGGCACGGGGGGGCTCACCCGCGATGATCTCCCGCAGCTTGGGGTCCAGGTTCACCGTGCACGGCAGGAAGGTCTTGATGTCACGGGCCGTTAGCACAGGCGTTCGGGAGGACAGGAAGACCTCGAAGCTGCGCACATCCCCGTCGATCTCCAGCAGGGGCTCCACGTCTTTGGTTGTCGGGATGTTCTTGGAGATCCTGTGGTTTTTTTTTAGGAGATAAATATGCAGACAGATCAATCACCAGTGTGCATGAGATCAGCTTCCACACTGCCGCAGGACATGAAAGGGGAGGTTTTTGGTTCAGAAGCCAGTTTACTGTCCAGAAGCTGGTTTGTAAATGAGCTTCAGCAATGTGTGCAGGGCCTAAAGACAACGGGAGGGAATCCCAAGAGACCAGCAGTAGTGCCACAGCTCAGGTGTGAAATCCCAAACACACACGCACGCACACACACAGCATATATCAGCCTGGCTGTGCAACTCAGGTAGAAACGAAATAATATTTACTATAATATATTTTTCATGAATGTATTGTGTTTTGAATAGGGCTGAAAGATACTGGGAGAAGTTCAGTGTGATATTTTAAGTTTTTGTGATATTTAGGAATTCAGAACTAACTAGAGGCAAATAGAACCTATTTTCTTCCAATACTCTGGCAAATAAATTGCCTGTGCAGCTGTGAGGTATGCAAACCAACACATGGCAGTGCTGACAAATCACTTGCTTTTGCTCAATATCATCTCTATGGAATCAAAAATATCTCCATACAGTAAAAGCCGACTTTTCGTGACCAATTCTTGTTCGTTTTTCTCCTCCTCAGTCATTTTTGTTAAATTCATCACAAACGCGCCACGCTGTCTGTAAGTGATTCTGACAGCAAGAACAAGAATGATTATGATTGGCTGGGAGAGTGCATGCATAACTCATGCAAAACCAGCGGCAGGGACCCTTAGACTGTTTTTTTTGTTCAACATATACTTGATCAGGGTCGCCCGATTTCAGGCCCTAAGGGGTGGAATCCAACACAGTTTGTAAATTTCCCTGCTTAAATACATCTTAACCAGCCGATTACCAAGTTTAATAGGTGTGTTTGAGCAGAGAAATTTGTGAACTGTGTTGCAAACTGGTCCTCCAGTACTGGAATTGGGTATTCCTATACAAGTTAACGTTGAAAAGGAATATCATTAAAATGACAACGCTTGCTAACTTTTGTTTCCTATGACAGTAAAATGTTTTAGCGTAACTTATTGACGGTCTCAGCCCAGCTGACTACTGCGGTCTTTAGATGTGACAAGTGCATGTGCATTTCATGCGGTGTCGACATTAACGTCGCACATCCTGCCAGCCCAGTACCGAGGGCTGCACGCTGCTGTCGGTGTCGGTGGGATTTGCATGTTGCGTGTGAGGGCAGCCCCATCCTCTTCAGTAAACAAATCTGAACATATAAATGGATACAGCAGTCAAACACGTTTTAATACACCGCGAGTTAATGTAACACTCAGGAAAGAGCCAGGGGCGCTGGAGGGCCATAGGTACCCTGGCAGATTCAAGGGGCCCAGCACAGATTAAAGGGGGCTCAAAGTGCTCCCACCCCCCCATTCGGCCAAATTAGCTGCGGGGGCCTAAGGTGACATTTTGTCAGGAGGCCTGGAAGTTCTAGCTACACCATTGTAAAGAGCAGCCAGACCCAAAACCTGCAGATTTAGTCCACAGTTAATCATACAAACGAAGGCTAAAGATCACAGCCTCCCAGCATGCAGAGGATCGGCAGCGTGGGTGTCCGTGTACATGCTGAGCGCAGCCCCACCCCCGTCCTCGACATCACAGGTGTTTGCTAACATCACACCATCACACCCGTGGGCGTACAGGCCAGCTTATCGGAGTTTATACAGGAACCCTGAATGACAGGGCCTGTGTTTGCTTAGTGTATTGACAGAGGTGATACAGGCCCCGCCTAACATCCGCGGGGCTGGCTCGCACACGCTCAGTGCGCACGTCCTCACCTCTCATAGATGGTCTTGAGCGCGGCCTGGTCCGGGATGCCATCCGTCTCCTCCAGGAACAGGATGAGCCAGGAGGTCCTATAAGGCCACTGCTCTGTCAGGTTGATCCAGGACGCCAGCCGGTCCCAGCTGAAGGTGATCTGATTCGCTCTGAGGAGCCGACCTGCCATGTGGAGGGAGAGTGAGATTCAGCGACAATGGCGTCCACAGCTCGCTCAAAGACGGTTACCCTCTGGAACAGGGGCATAAAGAAAAAGCTGCAATCTGACACAGTCAACCAAAATGTCTGGGTGGCTTTGCTGCTAACATCAAATAAGATTAATCCCCCCCCCCCCCCCGGAGGACCTGTGCAGATGTGGCAAAGCAGATGGACAAGCTCCGCGGTGAGGGCTCACCTGTGACGGATACGATGTTAAGCACCCTCCTCATGGTCTGCGGGCTGATGTCGCTGAACCAGTCCTCAGTCACCAGCAGCTTGGTCAGGTCGAAGGACATCTGCCGTGTCACACTCCTCTGGATCTGCCGACGCCGGTAAGTGTCCTGCAGGGGGCGGCGGAGTGCAACATTCACATGGATATGCCCCGGCACACTGAGACGACACCGGAAAAGACCTCGGCAAGACCCCAACTCTCAGCCAAATCCTGTGTAAACTCCATAAGTAAGAGTTAATGCACGGCAGCGGAGGCAAAGAACACTAAACACATCAGTATGTATGTCATTTATGTTTTTGGTATTAAATCACTGACTACAGGTCTTGGTCCTCAGTTTAAAGCACTGTTGTTGTCTAAGTTACCTGTAGCCATTTCTTTGTTTTTATATTTACCATTAAGTAATGTTAGCTAGAACTATTGGTTTACTACTGCGATTCGCTTGGCTGGCACTACTCGTGCGGTTATACAAAAATCAATCAACACCCTTCCTACCAAATCAGATTTCAGAATTCAGCTGCACCGTAGTATAACTGCCTTTGACTAGGACCTGCATTAAAATGGATCCCTACACCTGGGTCGGCGTGGACACGTGGATGCCGGCGTTTCTACATCGGTATGAAATATGGCCAAGGTTGTGGATTTGGGGCCTCACATCCCAGACTCTTTCGTTTCTTTTATACCTAAAAAGAGTGAGTATGCAGGCAGTGCAGGACAGGATGCCGCAAAATACCATATAACAACCTGGGGTTCATGACCTCGGACTTTACCGCGCCTTTAAATCGCTAAGTCCCGTGATCAGAGCGCCACCAGATGAACATCACATGACTTCCTGGCACGGCTCTTAACTAGACTATTAGTATACTGCAGATAATCAGATCCTTCACTCCGGTGTGAGCAATAATGAAAAAAAAATATGATTCATGAGATAGGATAAGAGACCCAAGCGTTCTACATTCTCAGATAAAGGCTTGGGCCAAACGAGCGCTTGCCGGGCCTGGCAGTTTCGGCATGTGCCGTGGGAAGCCCCCTCTGGCCCTCTCTGTTCCTCTTTCGCTCCGGGTCGCTTCACTCCCGCCCATCGGCTCCTCTGAATGCTCGCTTCACAGAGCGACAGGCAGTAACCGACTTTCCCCGGATGTGAGGGTGACCGAGCTCCGTTCTGTGGGTTTCTCATTTGCCGGGGCAGACGGACGGCCACTCAGGCTCTCTTACCCTCCTGTTTAGCGTGGTTTTGCTGCCAACCTTGGTCAGTTCACCCAAACTGTGCTGAGAAAGCTTCCTGTCCAGTTCTTCATGCCAGCCTGGGGAGTCGATGCACATATACATTATAATCATATACTTAATTATATAAAACTCCTACAAGAATACAAGTGGTGTGTGGCTCAATGGGTTAAGCGTCTGTGACTTTGAACAGAAGGTCGTGGGTTTGAATCCTGTTGCATGCCTGACCCTGTGCCCACACCCCAAATTACACTCTTTTCTGTATTTATGCTAAAGGAAGCATTCCAATGTGTCTGTACTTGTGCAAATTGCAGATGAAGCATCGTTTAATTTTTTTAATATATGCAAATAAAGGCAGTCTAAGCATGTAAGCAAATATAAAGGATGTCAAAATACAAACAGACACAGAGCGATACATTGATTGCTGCAGCGAGAATCAAATCCTCCAGCTTTATGTGCATCATAGTCAGGGTTATAAAGCTTTCAGATAAATGCATGTTTAACCCATGTTACTCGCATGTGGGTAGAGGACAGCGGGCGGGGCGGTTACCCTCGGGGTTGGTGGCAGCGTCGCCGTTGGCAGGGGCGGAGGCGGGTGCACACATCTTACGGGCACTGCTGAGGCCTCGGCTGTTCAGGAAGACGGGCAGGTGCACGATGTTGCGCATGTAGTCGTGCCCGTTGATGTTGGAGTCACGCAGCACGCTGTTCAGGTTCTGGTTGATGGCCTTGATGATGATGTGCGGGTCGCTGGCGAAGATGGCGATGAAGGGGCCTTTGGAGAACAGCACCCTCACCTGGTGGGGGGTGGGAAAGACTCACATGGGTCTGGACCCTAACGCCAGGGACGGACTTCATCAGTCTCAGCTTCTACAGCTCTGTTATATGCTTGGATATGCCAATAAAATCACCAGCAGTGTTTAGATGGGGTTCTGAGAACAGAGCTTTACTGGAACTTATTTAAAAAACTGTTCCTTATGATAAACACTGTGTGCTGAGTTTGCATGTTTATATTATCTGATACAGGTTTCCTCTGGGAACTTCCCACAACCCAAAGACCTTCCATTGGGCTGACTGGCATCTCTGAATAGCCCATCGTTTTGGAATGTGTGATTATTTATGTGCCCTGTGATAGACTGTAATCCCGTCCACGGCGTCTCCCAGCCTTGTGCCCTGTCCTGCCTGGGACAGGCTCTGACCAGCATAAGCCAGTCTAAGATGGAGGAAATTCCCCACAGCATGACGTTCTGTGTGAAATTCCCTGTTCCTGCTGAAAGCAAAACCTTTTCTGCATCTGGTGTCGGACAGACAAGGAAGGCGATGACCAGGCTGTCATTTATTTTAACATGAGCCTCTCAATCAGAACTATATTAAAGGTGCTAATTTGACATTGATAAATTACAGGCATTAACTCTGGTTGTCTTGGGGGGGGGGGGGAGCACTTACCGTATCCAACATCTGCAGCACTTTGTCCTGCTCGCAGGAGTCCAGGCCATCAATGATGACGACCAGTCGCGTCTGGTTCTGGGTGAAGCCATCGATGGTCTTTGCCATCTTGGCCATCAGTTCCACCTCACACTTCAGCACCTGTTGGGGGTGGGGGGGTCGTTTAAAGGGGAGTACGAGAGAGACAAATGCTTGTGGGCGTGTGCTTTAAAGGACTTCTGTGTGTGAAAAATTATAAATGTGTCTAATTGATTCGTTCTGGCACAGAGACCAGTGATGTGGTTAAAAAGCAGTTTTGTGTGTATGCGCGTGTGTGTGTGCACATGTGCACGCGTGTGTGCACCGGTTTCCTGGGGACCGGTTTCCTGGTCCCCATAAGGGAAAACTCTATTTTATAAAAATTGGTGACTGCTATGAAAAAACTAAAAATGCAAAAATTCTTCTATTTTGTTTGGTTACTTATGGTTATGGTTAGGGCAGGGTAGGGGTTAAGGTTGTCATAGTTAGCGTTAGCATTTTTCCCATTGAAATGAAGGAGCGGTCCCCATAAGGATATGTTTACCCTACATGTGCATGCGTGTGTGTGTGTGTGTGTGTGTGTGTGTGTGTGTGTGCGGGCACGCCTGCATGTGTGGGGGGCAGCACCTTCATGAAGCCCTCGCTCTTCAGCTTATGCAGCCTGTTGGCGGCGCTGTGGAGCCGCTTCCTCTGCGAGTGCAGTACAGAGTCCAGCACCTGCCACCAGGTGCGGCAGTTGAGCACCAGCGCCAGGCCCACCACACTGGCCATGGCGATCAACACGGCGTTCACCGTGGTGTTGCTGCCGTCCACCTTAAAGACAGCGAGCAGGGCCATGCCGGCAATGAGGCAGCTCAGGACGAAAGTAAAGAGGATGAAGGACGGCAGGCAGCATGTCTTCTTCCACTTCTTCTTCCCTGTGAGAGCGAGTGTGAAATGGATCAGCTTCGGTTAGAAACATCAGGTTCAGTCCGGCACTCTACCAGTAACATCACTGGCTGCTAGACCCATTAGCGATCTTTTGGAGCTCATGGGCGAAATGAAAGAATGGTTGGTTATCTCGACAACTGATTGGTTGGTCCCACCTCCTAGTTGCTTTGACCCACCTCCTCTACAATCTGATTGGCTAAATCTCTAAACCAATCATTTTTATTTCTGCCCTCAGAACATTTTTGTACAAGTTAAACTCCCACAAGCCAACTGACATACTATAAAAATTACATGTGTGTACAGTCATACACTGATATTTTGGACAATGTAAGGGTGTAGACCACCTCCTTCTGGAGGAGGGGGGGGCAGCAGGCCTGAGAGGAGACAGGCTGAGGATACAGGAAGTTATGAGTTATGACACATAGACCATAAAAATAAGACAAGGTAAACCTCACAGTTGTGGATGAAGGATGCCAAAAACTGCCCTCAGTTTCTAGTACTATACCATTAGGGAGCCCAGTTAATGTGCATCACACGTCAGAGTGTGGGACGCTCCTCCTTCCACTTCCAGCTTCACTCTAGCAGCAGGTTCTCACCCTGAGTGTCCTCCGTCTTGAAGACCCTGAAGAGGCGGGTGGCCAGGAAGCCAAACTCCCTCTCGCAGGCGTCTGACAGTGTGGCGATCATCTCGGCCATAGACGTCTCTCCGCCCACACTTGATAAGCGGTTGTAGTCTGTGAAGAGGAACCTGTGAAGAGGACCAGCAGTCAGGACCTCGGGGTCTCCGAGATGAGGGCACTGTGTGCTCCCGAGTTTATGGGAATATAGCTTGAATTCAGCCTGTTACAGCTGAACATGGAGAACAGCCTGCATCTCACCAGTTAGCAACAAGGCCAAGATGCTGAGTGGGGGAGGTGTTTGTTCAGGATGGGGCTCTGTGGGGCAGGGCGCGGGTGGTCATTATTTGGGATGGGAACCTGAATGGCAGGGTATGGGTGGTCATTATTTGGGACAGTAACCTGACCGGCAGGGCATGAGTGATCATTATTTGCGTCAAGTACTTGACGGGCAGGGTGGTGGTCATTATTGGGGACGGATACCTGATGGGCAGGGCAATGGTCTTCATTTGGTACTCCAACGAGTGGGGCGCAGGTGGTTATTATTTGGGATGGGTACTTGACGGGCAGGGCAGTAGTTGTTATTATTCAGAACAGGTATCTGAAGGTCAGGGTGATGGTGATCATATGGTACCTGATGGGCAAGATGCAGGTGATCATAATTTGGGATGGTTACCTGATGGGCAAGGTGCGGGTGGTCATTATTTGGGATGGTTACCTGATGGGCAGGGTGTGGACAGGCATTATTCGAGATAGGTACCTGATGGGCAGGGTGCGAGTGGTCATTATTTGGGATGGTTACCTGATGGGCAGGGTGAGGGTGGTCATTATTTGGGACAGGAATCCAATGTGCAGGATACGGATGGGCATATTTCGGGACGGGTACCTGACTGGCAGTGCACGGGTGGTCTGCTCCGGGAGCTCAGGGGGGTTGACAAACATCAGCTTCAACAGCAACTCCAGGTAGCCAATATGTCGCGCCAGGCAGGTGCTGAGGACCCAGGCCCAGTTCCAGCTTTCACCTTCCCTTCGACCACCAAAGTAGACCACCACTGAGGAGACACACACAGCTCAGTCACGGCACATGCCCCCCCACATACAAACCACTGCCAGACAGCAGAGCTCATGACTCTTCGTCAGATTCATATCGTTCATTGTACAGCATATCAATGTTTCCAATTTGTAAGAATCATTTATTTAAAAGTGCAAATCAATATCAAACAGCTCCAGCTGATTACTATATTGTCTGGGAGAAATGAGTGCTGCAGTCTGAGTGTCTTATTTTCAGCACAGCAGTGCCCTCTAGTGACCAAAACAGAGGACAGCAAGTAACGTTGGCAGCATCACAGCCTCCACTTGGATTTAGCAACGCTTTCCAATGACTCTGTGTTACTCCGGGTAACAAGTGGTTTCAAAGACAAATTTAACTTCACAGAGCTCATTCTATTAATTTTATGAATATATGCTTGAACACTAGAGTTTAATATCTGTAACACCCATCTGGTCCTGTGATGTCTCTGTGCGTTTCACATTTAGCATTTTATTCGACAGATGCTCTTATCCAGAACAACGTACAGCCCAAGGCAAAAAAATGCTCATTTAGGGCTTCAGCAAGCGATGCATGTAACAGTGAGAACTTATGCTACTCACGATTATACTGCAGCAGTTAAAGTGTGAAAGTGAGGTCTAGGACAAAAGATTGGGGGGGGGGGGATTTAAAAAGGGATATTTATTTTGCACAGGAAGAGGCAGTGTGACAGGGCAGGTCTGTCGTTAAAAGCAGCAATGCTATCGATTAGTACTCAGTGCAGTTACATAAAAGGCTATATGGAGTGGAAAAACAGCAGATCTGCTGGCACAGGGAGCACTGAACTGATTCCAAGTCACCGCGGAGCAGGAGCGTGTTGAGGGAAGGGAGGGGCAGCCACAGAGCCGAAGGGGTTACCGAAGAAGAGGTAGAGCAGGGCCAGCAGGCTGAGGGACACAGCCACGGTCAGCTTGGGGTCGACGGTGAAGCCCAGCACCAGGGCCACGGAGCCACACAGCAGCAGGGACAGCACTACCACCAGCCAGGAGAACTGGAACAGCGGCTCCACCTGCTGGCCGGCAAACGTCTTCATCTCGTCTGCGCCAAGGGAAGGGGATACTGGAATTACATCTCCGCGCGGGTCACGAGCGCCAGGAAAGTTCTGGCACCGCAACTGACAAGACCGACAAGTATTTCACTACATTACATGTGACAATTTCCATGGGCAAAATTTAGATCAAACCCGGGCCTATATTTATCCTTGTAACAAGATAATAACCATGTCTCATTTCAGGTCGTATTCAAAGTCATGAATAACAATAATAAATAACCCCCAGCTTTCAATAATTACCAGGAAAAAAATATTTAAGCTCTGCCTGAGTGTTAGGAAGCTGTATACATGTGTACACACATAGCAGCCATCTTCCTAACTCCCATGTTCCTAAGACAGACAACACAACAAGACACAGACTGCCGTTAGGTCTTTGGGACTGTGGCTGAGCCTTTACCTTCCAGCTTCTTGAGCAGGAAGGACTTGCCGCTGCCCCACTGGGCGTAGAGGCCCACGCAGATGGGCGGCTGCATGGTGGGCTCGCTCAGGATGTCAGCCAGCGCGCTGCTGTACAGGTCATATCCCAGCATGTCACCGTCAGACTCCGTGGGGGACAGGTGGCCTGGTCATGCCAGGGCAGAGTGGAAAAAGGTGAAGGAGGAGTGGTTAAAAACCTGGATGTATGCAGCTTCTCAAATTAAAATTAGAAGTAAATTAACTAAACTTTTAACCCTCTTAATTTAAACAAGTGCCTGTATCATAAACTGTGTTTGGCAACCAATGGAAATAAACATCACAAAGATGGAAGCTATGCTCACGGGCTCCGAAGATCTGGGTGAGGATGCTCTTCTGGTGGCTGCAGTCGACGTTGTAGGGCGTCTCGCCCGCCTTGTTGGGCCGATAGAGTAGTCGGCCATCTTTGGGGTTGCGGAGGAGCAGCTCAGCTAAGCGGCGGCTCCGCCCCCGGATGGCGATGTGGAGCGCCGTATCTCCCTTCTGCAGTAAGAGGATCCCACTGAGATAGAGGCCTGAATCGCAATCCCCACCCCCTGCCTCATACCCAAGTGAAATCCTCCACCCACCACTGGCTTTAGGGTCAAAGGAGAAGACATATCACAAGCTCCACCAGTGTTTTTCAACCCGGTCCTCAAGGACCTCTAGACAGTCCATGTTTTGGTAGGAAGCTGAGAGGGAGAAAAAATGTGGACCGGGGGCCCCCATGGACCGAGTGGGGAAACATTGCTCTGCACTGCATTCACCACTTTGAGATGACCTCAGTCGGGTCACAGAGAGCTCTGCATCATACCTTGTCCACAGCGGAGACCTTGGCGCCTTTATCCAGAAGAAGCTCCACTATCTCGATGTTCCTCATCTTGGTGGCCTTTATCAGAGGGGTCTCTAAATCCTGACCACACACAGAAGATCAGACAAAAGGTCAATACCATCAATCAGGCAGGTGCCACTGTCCACACCAAACATCTCGAAAGATCATACCCATCCTTCCATGGATCGATATTCCTGACTTCTGGTTCTTCTGGTACCATTTTCCAGGGCTGAGTTCCCCGAAGCCTTCTTAATGCTTCGTCATTCGTAAGTTCTGTCTTTTAACATAGAACTTATGAACAACGTAGCCTTAGGAAGGCTTCGGGAACCTCAGCCCTGGAAAATGCAGAACCAGGAGTAGGGGGAGAGAGGCATGGGCGGTGGGGGGTGAAGTGCAGACCTCACCTTGGTGCAGGTCTCCGTGTCAGGGTTGCACTGCAGGATGTCCCGCACCATGGTGGCATTTCCTTTCTCCACAGCCCAGTAGAGGGCAGTCTTGTTCTCCTGAAGGGAGGAAACAAGTGTGGGGAGGGCATGATGAGAGCTGTGAGCAGATGCACAAGTGACCCTAACTTGTCACCTACTGGAACTAAATACAGTGGTACCTCAGAACTCGAACTGAATCCGTTCAGATCTCCGGATCGAATCCTAAAAAGTTTGAGTTCTGATCGAATTTTCCCCATAAGAAATTATGGAAAATGGTTCCCGATCCCAAAAAAATACACCTAAATATATTTTTTTAGCATTTAAACACAAAATGAACCGGATAAAATAAGAAGAACATATACTGTACTAAACACATCTATGCACATTTATCAAAACAGTCATTTGTAAAGTAAGAAAATAAATGTATCCAAACAATGTGTAAAGTTAAAAAAAAAACAATGTCCCCGATCTTCCGGTCCTTCCGTGTGCCACGCCCCCTCGTTAACCCCGTGTGATCAGCTGTTTCTGGTTGCTGTCATTAGTCCTCTGTATTTCGTCCGCGTTTCAGTTTGTTTCCCCAGTCCGGTCATTGTATTTTCCGTCTGCGTTTTGCCTGCCTTACCTGTAATTAAACCCCGTATTCCCCGATACCCTGACGTCTGCGCCTTTGTCTTCTTTCCGTCCCCGCTGGGCACGACAATATTATTATAATTAAATGCATCAAAGGTTTATTATTAATATTAAATTAATAAGAAATCTTTATTTTTAAATGCATTTTATTATATAATAATGATTACTGTTAAAATGTATTTTTACTGTCTAAATATATGTATTCAGCTAGTGTAAACATGCACGATGCTATCACAGCGAATGCAAGGCTGAGACTGAAGCGTTACCCTTTGTTTCCGCTGACAGACGTGCCGCGACTCATTTCCCCGCGCGTACAAGTTATCTTAGGTCTGCGTTCACGGTTTGATTTCTGAGATTCAGATCGAGTTCTAGGTATTTTTTTGTCGAACTGCTTGGTTCGACTTTTAAGAAATTCAAGTTCTAATGAGTTCGAGAACTGAGGTACCACTGTATATAAGAATGAATAACAAAACACACGCACTAAGGCAGGGGTGGGCAATATTATCCGCAAAGGGCCGGTGTGTATGCGGGTTTTTGCTGCAACTCCTTAATTAAATTACCAATTAGACTGATTGGCTGAAGAGTCCTCACACCTGGGTTTGAACAGCTGACCTACAGGTTATCCCAAAAACCTGCATACACACCAGCCCTTTAATAATGCTCTTGGTGTTTGCAAGAACCTTAATAAAATATATCAATATATCTAAAATATGCCTACCTTGTTAAAGCTGTTAAAATATTCAGCTGTTATGCGATACACACATAAAACAGCGCAGACAGTCACGCACAGAAGGGCAGTAGAATAGTGAGTGGTTCTATCCAGACGTTCAAGCAACAGGACTAATATAGAGCAGGTCAGATCATCACGGCATGTGGCTGCCCTCTGCTGGTGCAGGAAGTGCGGTGACACCACCTACCTGCCCCCTGATGTCAATGTCAGCATATTTGTGCAGCAGGGCCCGAACGATCTCCACATGGCCACCCCGGACGGCTCCGATGAGCACTGTGTCCCCGCTCTGGGGAGTGGACACACACACACACACACAAAATTTATGCCTGTCTCCCTGTCCAGCCACCGTGGCTTCAAAACATTAGGTACATAATTCCCTGAAAATCCAAATCACTCCATTAATCTAATCTTGGCTCCCACTTCTGTTAGAGGTGAGGGTGTGCCTGAGCCCATACCCTGTCCGGGATGTTGACGTAGGTGCCGGCATCCAGCAGGTCCTGGACGATCTCAGTGTGGCCCTCTTTCGCGGCGATCATCAGCGCGGTGTTGCCGTCCTTATCTGTCATGTTCACGTTGGGGTTCCTCTTCAGAAGCTCCTTCACCACCTCCGTGTAGCCGCCCTTGACTGCCACAATCAGGGCCGTCATGGAGTTCTGGCGAGGGGTGGGAGGAACAGAGAGGGTGAGGCCTTAGCAGACTGCCACAATACGGCGACCATGACCTATCTGTCACAAGCAGAAGTTCAGTGTCAAGAGGGAGGGGAAGGAAGTAGTAAAAGGGGCAATGTACTTATAATGTCCTTAGAAATATCATGCTAAAGTAATACTGGAGGTCACTTCTATCCAGGTATTCTTTGAAAGAAGTAACCGTATTCTAAAAAAAGGCTATTTCTTTGAGAATGTGATTGGCCTAAACACTGGAGTAAGAGTGAGAGAGAGTCCATGCTGTTGTGTGCATGTGAAGCAGGAGTACCACCTACCGCCCCCTCCTGGTCGACGTCAGCGCCATTCTCCAGCAAGTGCATCACACAGTCAAAGTGGCCCTTCCTGGCTGCCCAGATGAGTGGGGTTGTGCCGTACTGAGAGGGAGGGAGGACATACTCATCAGCTGTCATTGAGCCATCATGCCTGTCCCATGTGAGGCACATGTGAGGCACATGTGAGGCTTACCTTGTCTGAGCAGTTCACTTTGGCACCGTGCTGGAGCAGGAGGTGCACAATTTCTGCGTGCCCACGGCCAGCTGCCCAGATGATGGGGTACACGCTGTATTGCTGGGGGGGGGGATGGAGGTTGAAATTACACAAATACCTTCACGGACACAAAGCCCGCCCATACCACGCATCAAAGGCTGGCTGCCTGATTGAGTGGTTAGAGTTTTGATTTTATTTAGTTTTTATTTTTATATTTATTTTCAATTTAAATTTCTTTAAAATGAGTTAGTTTCGTTTTCAGTGTGGTTTTATTAGTTTTATTTTAGAGAGATATTTCTGTTTAATTTTTTATTTTCAGGAATAGACTTAAAGTTGTAGAGCTATTTTGCATGTCTGATCCTACATAAATACGCGGTGTACATTATGCACTGACGTCATTAAGGATAAACAAATCATTACATTAGCTAAATATATTTAACAACAGCAACGGAAAGTACATGATGTTTGTTTTTATTTGCCAGTTTCAGAAGAAATCATTTATAGTTTTCATTTAGTTCTAATTTTTTAGTTCACAAAAATGTTTTTGTGTAGTTTTACCGTTTGTTAAAGGTAATAATTATTATATGCAAAGGTTATTATACTGGTCCAATGAGAAGGATTTTGCGTTTACTGAAAATGAGCCGACTGTCTCTTCCTCGCTGCCTTTCTGAATGGCGCGAGACGAGCCCCCCTCCTCACCTGCCCCGTGGTGTTGGGGTTGCCGTTATTCTCCAGCAGCACCTTGGTCACCTCCACACGGCCCTTGTAGGCAGCCCACATGAGTGCCGTCCATCCTCCCTGGACGTCAAAGGCAAGGTCACATGGTTACCAATACTGCCCGACCACTGACTTCCACTTTATGGCCAAAAAATTATTTACAAACCATTAACCAATTAGATAATACATAAAATATGCCGAGTACCTGTATTGATATAGTCAAAGTTAGAGTTTTAAAGACAGGCAGACTTTATTAATGTTAAAAGAAATAGCAGAAGTTCCAGTAGCAGCATAAAACAAAACAACAGGAATAGAAAAGGTGCAGTTTAAACAGATGCTGACAGAGCCTGCTGACGGCTGGCAGGACACGTCTCAGGTAGCTGTACTGCTGTATGAATCTACCTATAAGAGTAATGAAAAGGATCCTCTGACATTAACATTAAAACTAAAACTAAAAGCTAAGAACGCATGATCCCCCGCTCAGCAGGTTCAGCAGGGTAGGTCTATTTTTTTCATAATAAGAAAGGGTTTTGTTTTAATAGACAAATGACTGTTTGGGACATTTTACTGCTTACAAAACACATCCACAGCCTTAGCTGTTTTTCTTGAAAAATGAAGGTTTAAATAAATCTGCATGATATGTTTTGACAAAATCAACCCAAAGCAGTAAGTCTTTAACACACCAGTTTTACATGAATTATCTAAATGAAGTGACCAAACTGGGAATATCTGCCCGATTCATTTATTCTGCTTTGTCTTCCTGGCCAAGTTTCTTCCCCTCTCACCATGTCTCTGTGCTCTATGTAAGCACTGTTCTCCAGAAGCTCCATCACCACCTCCACATGACCCTCCTTGGCCGCCGAGATCAGGGCCGTCCAGCAGTCCTGGACAACAAAGGAGAAATGTGGCAGTGGGTCTTGTTACCATGGTGACCAAAACCAAATGTTGTTGCCATGGAGACCCTGTTGCTATGCGAGTTCCAAAGGGGATGGGGGGGGGGGGTTCTTCTTTCCAATGACCGCAGACTCACCACATCATCCAGGTTGACATTTGCGCCCCTCCTGATGAGCTCCTGCACAATCTCCAGACTGCCCTGTTCAGCAGCCAGCATCAAGGGGGTCTGTCCATTCTGCGAAGAAATCAACGACCCCTCAACACTGATTCTCACTTACCCAACCTGCTCCAGCTAAATGAATAGCTACACTTCCATGGAGGTACATCACTTCACTGCCATGAAACATTATGAACCTCCATCTAGCCATCTCCACATCCAAATGGGCCTCATCTACCAGACAAGCCAGAATTCCTTGTTTTCCCCCGAAATCACACAAACAAAACTCTGCTGGCCACTCACATCACTTCTGCCATCCACCTCTTTGAACTTGTCCAGGTGCACCTTGACGGCGGACAGGTTCTCCTCCTCCACGTAGCTGAAGAGGTTCTGGATGGCCATAGTGGTCATCTTCATGGAGGTGGTCGTGTCCACCATGGCTGCACCTTGACACTGCTACACCTGATGGAACAGATGGAGTTCAATTCAAGACCCACAAAGCAAACACACAGAGAAAAATGATCTACGACTAACCAGGACAGGTCACGGAAACCAACACCTAGCTATAAAATAAGAACCTTTAAAAAAATACTCTTTGCCACATTGAGGAATTGGTCACTTCCAATACAATCTATTAGACTGATCAAAATACACCCTTCATAAGGCAGGAATGCAAAACAAATAGACACAGCATGAAAAACACCTGCTTTATCGCCCAATTATAATTCAATAGCTTTTCTTTCATTATACTGCAAATGTTTCATCACTATAAGCCCTGCAGGTCACACTGTGGCAATTTCACATGAAAGCCCTCTACAATGAAACATGTAGGTGGTGCTGATTTAGCCCCCTGCTGGAGGCAATCCTAGGGCTGATAACGGAGAAGCTTTCCCATGTGTGAGCTTCAAACTGGGAGACATCAATCTTACCTGGGGAACAGGACAGGGGATGAAAACCTTTTCTGTCAAAGCAGACCCCCTGATTGGCGGCTGAAATCCAGGCGCCAGGCCGGCCTTGGCGCGCGTTATCTGTGCCTTAAATGTCACACGACGGCCAAGCTGCCCAGAGCCAATAAATCTGCCTGCAGCAGCAGTCGCAACAAAAACACCACGCCACAGACCCTCTCATCTGAGCACAAGCAAGTCTGTTTCATAAGCTCACCATCTCCTGTCACTAATTTTTTAATACCCATCCATTAAAAGGACCTGGCCAGTGGGGATGTTTACACAGACATATTTCATGCTTAGAGGTATAAACAATAATTTGAACAAAGAGATCCTTAAGGTCCTGAAACTACGCAAGAGTATTTGTTCTGTGTTGGGATCCTACAGGTAAACAGTGCAGCTTATTAAAATATAATACACTCAGGCTGATAATCCAGACAGGATTCGGACTGCCTCTGTAGTAGGATTCTAGACAGAGGTACGATCTACCATTGACAAGAACCTCTAGATGTGAAACAGCATAGAATTTAAAATTGATGAATGGCATATAAATCTTTTCATCCATGGCTTTGACGGTTTGAAATATTAAGCATTTTAACACATGATACAAATGGAAACACAACAAGGATCAACAAGGATCAAGGATCAACACTGGGACGGCAGATGCGCTGACGACCACTGTGCCTCCTTTTACAAAAATAAATCTGCATACTAATGTATCGCCGCTGAGATACACCGGAGGCCGACGTCGGCATTAGTGACCTCGGATCGCAAAGGAAGCCGCCGCCCTGTTCGGCGCGGTTGTCAGACTCAGCAGGCGGAGCTGCACATTGCCGAGCACCATGAATAACGCATGAGGATCACAAAGAGACATCGGCAGCCTGATGGAGGAGGGGGTGCGATGTAACAGCAAAATCATCCACTATTTAACCCCTCCAAATGCAATCTGTTAAAGCCTGAGAAGGATGCATGTGTGCATCATGGTTAATAAGTCGAACTAAGCCTATTTTAAAATGACAATTTCTATATCACAGAGTATTTTTAGATAAACGCAACACATTTATGTGCTTATAGAAACACACGTAATGGATGAAGGTCTGGCAGTATTAGTGTGACTGTACAGCCAAATATACAGCGGCGGATGCAGAAGCAATGAACGCAGACAAACACGGCTTATTTGAGATGATGGACCCCAGGGCTAAATGGCAGGATGACTGCACAGTCACCTGCCGGCAAGCATGCAGTCCAACCACATCCTGCTCTTCCCAGGGGTGTGTTTCTTTTGTTGACAAACGATGCCGGCGATCTATGGCAGCCACGCTAAGATACGGTCGGTACAAGCTGGGTGACTAGATGGCTGCCGTGGAGCTACAGTGATGTCAAGCGAATCATAAGGCGGAGAAAGGCAGACGATTCCTGTCAGGGACAGCACCGGGCCGGGATTTCATCCCGACAAGTACAGACACGTTAACACCCGTGACATCTGAACAAAATACAGACACTATATGGAAAAGGGTGATTTGCACAGCCTTTTTTTACCGGCACCACCGAGGGTGTATTCACCACGGCTCCATCATCCAGCTACCTATTCCTTCATCGCAGCCGCTGCTATACCCGATACTGACAGCAAAGCGGGGCTTTGTTTATCCCCACCGATAAAACACTGAAATGACAAAGTCTTCCCGGTTGACAGATAGACTGGAACCTGGTGCTTTTAGATACCCGTCCCCGGCCGGCTCTTCAGACAAATACAGATCATGAAAGTTTTGTTTTATGGCTTTTTAAATGTCAGTAAACCTTGTTAAATAACTAACGAGAACGGCTATGGCACCTAGAGATGGGGACGCCTTACAACAGCAAGTACTGTACCTATATATAGGAGGACGGTATGGCTGAATTCTCCGGTTTGATTAACGCATCGAGCGAAAGGCGGTGGGACAGATAATCTAAATAAAAACGACTAGATCTTTCGTAGTGACCTAACGAAGGAAGCGGGCTTTTATGTCGAAAAAGCTACCCCAAACGACGAGCTATCAAACGGCCATTAGCATTAAACCATAGCTAAGGTGCGGAGTCCGCTCGATTCCCCCTGTGGCATCAGCTAGCCGCCTAGCATCTCGGCTGCGCCCGCAGGCGATATCGCCCGCCTAGGGGGACCAAGGAACCGGTCCGAGGGATCGGCGAGTTACTAATACATAAAACACCAGCTAACGCCGTTTCTACTCACCTTACGTGAAAATGACACGGAACAGTGCTCTCTTTTCCCCGCCTAAACGATACGCGATCAATCACAGACGATCATCCCCTCCGACAGCCATTACTGTGAAGGAGTCGGAGCTCGTTCTGCGGCTGATGGCGCGCCCCGCCCACTCGGCCGTGACGTTGCTGCTCGGGGGCTGCCGCCCCGCCCACCGCCCCAGCGGGATTCTGTGTGCTGCTCACCGAAACCGGCGATGCGGAGCTTATTCTCTCGCCTGTAAGTAAAAACAACCTCCTCGTTCGCTGGCGACTGAGCTGCGTACCACGACCAAGTACTCGCAGATAACAATTTCATTAAATTTTTACCGTTGTGTTACGATTCCCTAAACAAGCTGGTTCAAGCTTGTACACGTTTAGATATTTGACGAACGTGACAAACACGAAACTACGTTTTCCAACCTGACGGTAACCGTGGCAATTGTATGAAACAACTATTAAATCTATAATTGATATGACTGATTGAATAGCCGACCCCCTAATATTAGGTCTGCACCTACTTTGAGCACTTATAAAACCACACTGAAGAATCATGCTTTCTCCCTGGCTTTTGATTAGCATGAGTGTCTATTATTTCCCCCCCTCACCTTTTCTTGCGTTTTTGTTCTAATTCTAATTTATCTTAGGCCACTTAAAATTAATAAATTGTTTTACATGACTCAAACTTCTAAAATATTGGTGAGTAGGGGATTTTATATTTTTAGCGAAAAGACGATCGGCAACAGAGATATACTAAAACTAGAAAATTAAACTTTAATTTGTCAGTATCTCAACATTTTAAACTCTCAACAGTTCAAACAATTACAAGAAAAGAGAAACCTTCAAAACAAATGCCTAGTCTAAGTGTTTAATGGTCTTGCCACAGAATGGCCCAATAAAAGCGTCCTCCTGACAATAGCAAAACAACAGCACTTCCATTGTTTCAATGTTGAATTCACTATTATTGGACCACCCTACAAGAGACTACTTGCTCACAGTGCACAGGATATCAGGATTTGACACATTGACGATCTCTGACAGTTTTTGAGGTGAAAAAAACGGATTTTTTGAAAAATATAAAATATAAAAAAAATCGAGGCGGCACCAAAAAATTGAGGCGGGCGGCCATGTAAAACAATTTATTAATTTTAAGTGGCCTTAGTTAAATTCCTTTAATTTTGTGCAGCACTTTGGTCAACTCTTGTTGTTTTAAATGTGCTCTCTAAATACATTTTGATTTGATAATCGTAAAAAATAATCACGTTGGGTTTTCATATTTGTAGTATACAGAAGTTCCCCTTGGTTTCTTACAATTCGTATATGTTTCCCTTTTGTTTTTTGAACGACATTTGCTTTTCTATAAAATATATTCAGTATTATAATTGGAGCACATACTCCACTACCATGCTGTTTTTACACAAAATGCATGACCTAATGCCGAAATATTGCATAAGGACTAGAGATAAACAACAATTATGGTTGTCACATTGCTGAACACAATGCTCAGTCACTTGTAGTACAAAGAAAGTTATGGGCACAACCTAATATATCGTGCAGATAGAAATAAGAGAAAAAACAAATAGTGAATTTCTGTTTTGAAAAATACAATATACAAACATATTCAGGTACACATCTGTAACTTATACAGTCAGATATAAGTGAACATGTTTTATTCACTGATAAATTGTGTGTTGTTTTTGACCGTGTCAGTTCAAAGTGTAGCATTATACAATGGTTAAAGATCAAACATCATACAGCTGAACAACATTTAGGAATGTCAGTTTCTCCTGAACATTTGGATCAGCTACTTCTCTGAATCCATAGATACTAGAGCAGAAAGACGTCAATGAACATGACCAGAGCAGAAAGACAGGCTTACCAGAGAGCAAAACATTAGTCATTTCATACACATAATGGCAAATTCACCATTGGCTCTCACACCAAGGGTTAAACATCTGAAAAGAGTGCTTACCTGAAGAAAAACTTAGCAGCACATTCCTGGCTATACTGAGCAATTTTTAGACTTGAATTACATGAAGCTAATATCTTCTGTAATTATAATAATCTGTGCTGTGATGAGGAGAGTGTTGGTGTGACCAACAGGTTAGCCCATCCTGTGGTCTGTGTGGATCCCAGTGCAGTGATGGGGACACTGTGCTGTGAAAATGGTGCTGACTCTCTACGGTCATGAAAGATCCCTGGACATCTTTCAAAAGAGTAGGGGTGGTACCCAAATGTCCTAACTAAAATTGTCCACTGTAGCTCTTTCAAAATCTGGCATCCTGATCATCCATCCATCCATTTTCTATAATCGCTTGTCCTATTCAGGGTCACAGGGGGTCCGGAGCCTATTCTTGATGCTACAGGCACAAGGCAAGGGACAACCCAGAATAGAGTGTCAGCCTATCGCAGGGCACAATCACACACCATTCACTCACACATGCACACAATCCTAATCATTCCCTGAATGTAATTGGTGAATTTTCTCCTGCCCCTTCACCACCTTAGCTACTGTGTGGTGAGAGTACTTGCACAGAGGTCCTGATTTTCTTGAGTTCCCTGGGTCAACAACGGAGGGGCTTGTGTTTCATCTATTTAACCAATCACAGTCAACATTGCATGACATCACCACATTGGTCAATTTTTTTCTCAGGCTTGTGCCCATTGAGCTTATGGCATTATATGCCTAAGAACCTTAATCATTTGTGCTTGTGATCAGAAGGTCACCAGTTCAGGCCTTGTTGTTGTTATTATTATTACTGTTATAATTATTTTCATCATCATCATCATCATGAAATAAAGATGCACCCTTACACTGTCCATACAGCATTTACAGGTAAGCATGTCCCATAGCAAAAGGCTTATGCAATAGAATGGGTACTTTACCAATCTGTGGACCTTGCTGCTTAACAGAAAACACTAGTTTTAACTAATTTGGTGATGTCATACAATGAAGGCTGTGGTTAAAGAAGTGCAAAGCAAGCCCCTCCCATGCTACCCCGGGGAAAATCACAATGTGTCCGGCACAGAAATACTGGTGTCGCATCATCCAGGTGTGTGATACACAGTGGTGGTTGAAGTGGCTCCCCATTGGTTCTGTAACGGGCTTTGGGTGTCTTTGAAATTGCTATATACAATTTCTGCCAAATTCTGACTCTACCATTTGAATGTCTCAACAGAAATCGAGACTCATCAGACCAGGCAACATTTTTCCAGTCTTCAACTGTCCAATTTTGGTGAGCTCGTGCAAATTGTAGCCTCTTTTTCCTATTTGTAGTGGAGATGAGTGGTACCCGGTGGGGTCTTCTGCTTTTGTAGCCCATCCTCCTCAAGGTTGTGCGTGTTGTGGCTTCACAAATGCTTTGCTGCATACCTCGGTTGTAACGAGTGGTTATTTCAGTCAAAGTTGCTCTTCTATCAGCTTGAATCAGTCGGCCCATTCTCCTCTGACCTCTAGCATCAACAAGGCATTTTCGCAGCATACTGGATGTTTTTCCCTTTGCACACCATTCTTTGTAAACCCTAGAAATGGTTGTGCGTGAAAATCCCAGTAACTGAGCAGATTGTGAAATACTCAGACCGGCCCGTCTGGCACCAACAACCATGCCACGCTCAAAATTGCTTAAATCACCTTTCTTTCCCATTCTGACATTCAGTTTGGAGTTCAGGAGATTGTCTTGACCAGGACCACACCCCTAAATGCATTGAAGCAACTGCCATGTGATTGGTTGATTAGATAATTGCATTAATGAGAAATTGAACAGGCGTTCCTAATAATCCTTTAGGTGAGTGTAAATGCCACATTCATTCATTCATTCATGATAAACAGAAAACATTCAATAGGAATAAGTCATTTTGGAAGAACTTTTCTTGAAACCTTAGTGCTTAATGTTTTTGTTCAAAAGGGTAGTGGGATTTTTGTGTGGCTCAATGGGTCAAGCTGCTGCGCCTGTAATCAGATGGTCACCGGTTTACATTCTGTGGTCAGCAAAGTGATGTCATCATTGGGCCCTTGAGTAAGACCCTAACCCCAGTGGCTCCAGGCACTGGCTGACTCTGCTTTCTCAATTGTACGTTGCTTTGGATCGAAGCATCTGCTAAATAAATGGTTAATGTAGTGCATTCTTAGAACCTCAGTCCTGGGGTATGCGCTGCTTTTTTGGAAGAGCATGCTAATGGGTAATGAAAATTCTGTGTCATCTCAACTAATGAATAAAGATGCTTTATAGGCATGGAAGCCTGTGTGTATTTTTTTCGTCCTCGTACTCAAGAGCCCTTCACCCTATCACTCCCGCTTAAATTACTCTGTGTCAGTGTTTCCAAATCTACTACTCGGGACCTACAGACAGTCCACATTTTTGCTCCTTACCAGGAGCTGGGAGGGAGCAAAAACATGGACTGACTGTGGGTCCCTGAGGCCCAGATTGGGAAACACTGCTCTATGTAGGTTATTTATACTATCATTCTGTGACTTAGGCAACCTCTTCTTATCCAAAGTGACTTTCATCAGCTCACACAGCTGGGTATGTTTCTGGAGATCCACATACCCTTCCCAAAACAGACAAACAGGAAGTTTCCCTTCTGTGACTAGAACTTTCAGTGAGTGTCACCACAAACGGATGGATGTTTTGTGTCTAATATGACAGGCCTTGGCTGAGAACCCATGCAAAACGAAGAGCTTGCATGGTGCAAAATGCTGGTAGCAGCTGAGATGAATGAGCAGCCTGTTTGGCTCATTGTGGGAGTTATGTACTTGCTGTTTTTGTGTTTATTACATAACTATCAAATTCTGCTTGCACTTCTATGTTTTTAACCCCAGAGGGCATCAGTGAGTCTATTACTGCAGTGATTCTGCATGAAAACAAAGACTTGAATATTTAGTAACAAGCCATATCCAGAACGATGGATAAAATCCAATAATCTTTTAATCACATATTACACCAATAGAACATGTGTCAAAAGTCATCTTTTAATGATACAAAAAAAGACCATAAAATGTATACAGACTTTCAGACACACGCACACACACTACCACATATATACATACACACTGCAAATTTGTTCAGGGCCTTTCAGAGACAATTTCAGAATATCTGTTTCCTCCACATTCAAATGACCATATAATCCCATATGTTTGGGCCATTTAGCAAGAATGTTTGCAATTAGCCAACATAAAAAAAGATTACAGCCATATCCCAAAAATAGTGAGGTGTTTTCAATCTGTGGCAAGAGAGATGGAGAACCTGTGAATCACAAATGGGGAAAGCAGACTAACATTGTTTTCTCCTTATGAGAGTGTGTTAATACTGGATTCCAGACACTCTCTTTAATTCACAAAAAAAGATGCAGCTCCATTCTGATCTTCAACTCTAAAAACAATAATTAATTATTATTGTTATCATTTATCCTAAGGAGTTAAAGAAAATCAGACAAACATCTCTTAACAATCAAAGTAAAATGCAAGTAAGATATCTAGTAGGGTGAGGCACAGTGTATTAACTCATGTGGAATGAAACTGATTTTAGAACACAATCCAAATTCCAGACATTTCTTGAATCTCTTCTTATACCTTAAAATGATGGAAAACAACAGTAACAATAGTGATGATAAACTGAAGCGCTCACCAAGTCTTACTTGCTCCCCTTCCAGGTCAACCGGATGAACTTTCTTCCTTGGGCTCTAAAGACACCAGCAACTTCTAATTAGGGCTTGCCAACCCTGTCGTGGGGGGGGCAGGCTGGTAATGGGAGATGTGTTGCTGATGAAATTTGCTGGGGGAGGAGTAGGTTATTTCATTTTCCCCAAGGCGGGGCCCCTGCTTTTGTCGGGGCCCCAAGGCGCTGCTAAGGTCACTTATGCCTTAGGCTGGCTCTGCATGTAGTAGATGCACAGATAAGGGAGACTCAAAACTGAATTAGATGATTTGATTAACCGGAACAAAAACTCTTTCCTATCGTTACTGTCAGAAGATTTAGGTCGTTTCTATAGTATGAAAGATGGCAGAGTCTCTCATTTTACGAAAAGAAAGAAAAAAAACAAGAGACCAATCAAACAATAGCAAGAGCAAATAAATTCAAGGAGATTGGCAACTGACAATCACCTCTCTTCTCCTGGTGTTATAACCATGTTAACAGAAATTCTGTATGCATTTCATTTTGGGAGAAGTTGGTGTGTTTTAACAAGGACCAAAAACCCATAAACACTAAAATCTTTTTTTTGTTTTCGCTGCTCTCCTCTGTTGCCTGATGCCAGAATGAGAAAATGCACAGCTTTGATATGGTGCTACTCCCTACCCAGGAAGATGCACACGAAGCTGTTGGGCAGACTGAAGGTTTAAGGCACCAGAGCAGCCGTTTTGCACACAACGTCCTGGTGGAGCCAATCAGACACTACAAGTCGAGTCATGTGATCCCCCCACCACGCTTCGCTGTCAGTAGTTGCCGTTTGGTCCAGAGAGCTCTCATGCTCAGGGTCAGCTGCACTATCTTCAACCCAAAATATGAACCCCCACCACCCCATCCATCGTACCCATTTGTTTGTCCATTTGTCTGATGGTCTTTCATTAAAAAAAGTAGAGAAAAGAACAAATCTCTGTAGTGGTCTCAGTGTTGGAGAATTCCCCAGCCTAGCAGGCCAGGTGCTGGCTCACAGTCCCTCATGAAGTCTTCTTCTCCTGGCTGCTGTCATCCGCAGTGGAAGGAGGCAGCTGGGCGTGGTCACTGCTGGGTGTCCGCAGGTGCCTTGGCTTCACGGGCAGGGCCACTACCAGCAGCAAGCAGCTGATATGACCGCTGAAGTACCACGACCTGGGAAAGGAGAGGCCGACGTGTGCGTGATCAAGACAAACAGCAGCGATCATTCGCTGGGTAACTGCGCCACTCTCACAGAGGTACAAATCACAGATGGTTGCCTACAGGACTTTGTGAAGCTCTCTCTCTACACTGCTGCATCTCCACATACTCCCGGTCATTACAGCTCCACGCTACTTTACCAAATGTCCTTGAACATCTCTTACTTCCTCTTAATAGCCTGCTCATTCGTCTCCCCCAGCAGCAAATTACATATCTCAAAAAATGCAGGGCCGTGTCATTGCTGCTTTGAGGGATAAATTAACTGATAGCATGAACCATATCAACCCTCATTCAAGTTTATTAAAGCAATATCTGGGCCAGTGTTCAAGTTACAAAGTGATCTTTACGAGGAAAAGACACCCTCATGCTGGGTGGGAAATTAATTAAAAAAAACCCTAACAAAGATAAGTGGTTGGAAGATGGATGGATGGGTGGATGGATGGATGGATGGATGGATGGAAACTGTCAAATACACGGCCCAAGCAGATGACCGTCTGTTTGCTTGAATGTGTGAGGTTTCTGAAGCGATTCCTCTTGCTCAGGATGTTGCTTGTCATTTACCTGTAAAATTTCAGTGATGGAGCCACCGAAAGCAGCACAAATGGTACTACTGTGTAGCATATGGCGATCTGAGTCCCCGCCCACGTGATCACATCATACACCAGCTTGTGCGTCGCAGAGCCCAGGAAGTAGGGCCTGACGTTGTGTCTCACCTGAAGATCGAAATGAGAGAGCACATTGCTAAATGATGAACGTTTAAATCCATAATATCTACACTAGATTTCCAATATGGAGTGCTAAAGTCATTTTAGGCTGTTTTACTGATTGACACAGACATCAGCTCATTCATATGCAGTATAGTGTCAAGAACCACAGATACACAGTTAACACAGCTGCTGCCCCATCACTATTACACAATTCACACTTTATCCATGGCAATTCACACAGCTCAACTATTTCACTACTAAATGGTTGGAAAATTATTTCTAGAGGGTTTGTTTTGAGTTCTGAGCAGTTATACATGGGATTGCAACATGAACCCAGAAGTATGAGGGTTAAAAACTACCGGCAAAGAAATGAAGAGGCAGGGTTTGGAGGACTGGCGGCAGCGTGCAGGAGGTGGGGGTGCGGCACTCACCGCTCTCGCCGCCAGCGTGACGAGAATCCCTGTGACGAAGGTGAGGTAATACCCTGGGTAGGCGCCGTGCCACATTGCCGACAGCAGGAAGGTGGCGGCGGTGGGCTTGAAGGGACAGCGCTCGTAGCACACCCTGGCATGAGGATACCAGTCCGAACATGGCACAACAATGTTATTACAGTTTAGATTTTTAAAGCTTGTTTTTATTTTTATACTATTTTCAATTTTCATTTGAAACCCATGAATATATATATATATATATATATATATCAGTTTTAAAACTTTAGTTGTAAGTTTTAGTAATTTTACTTTTTGGGTTAGTTGCAAAGCTATTTTATGTTTCCAATCTGTAGAGAATCCTACATGAAAAAGCATATTAATAATGGGAATAAAAGACTGGCTGATCATTACTTTAGCTGAATAGTATTAAGGAATTGTAACAGAAATATTTGAAAGTTTGTTTTTATTTTATTTCAGTGTTTAAGCATCCTTGAGCATGAGAAATATTATTATTATTATTATTATTATTATTATTATTATTATTAGTAGTAGTAGTAGTAGTAGTAGAAGCAATATTTATAGTTTTTGTTTAGTTGTAGATTTTATTTTGGTATCTTATTTTATTTCAGTTTACAGAGCACTAACCTTAGACAGACGCCCCATACAATTCAAAGTGGAGGTTTTGTGTTGAGAGAGTTACTCTGTAGATACTGTTAATAACACTGACCAACGATCAAAAATGACAGGGGCGATTCCAGGATTTTTTTAAGTTGGGGGGTATAACAGGGATATAATTCATAAACAAGGACTGACTTTGTCATTAGCCAATGATATGTCATACATCAGGGAGTGACATGGGCATGGGCCAATCAGCTTTCAACTGGGACCACTGCCCTTGTGACCCCTCCCCTCTATATGCCCCAGAAAGGCGGTCACAGAATTTAGCAAAACTGTACATCATGGTGTCTTCCGTAGCTAAAGGGCACCCAAAAACCAAACAAAAATGACGGTTCAGCACATCTCATATAACTTTATATGTAGAAAAAATATGGCTTCCATCCTGCCCTGCACAGGATCTGCTGGCTTTCAGCAAATTGAAAAATTATAATAATAATGTCAGCTGTTAAAACACATATGTACTGGGCTAGGAAAATAAGTTCAATGCACATAAACTGATTTCTAGATAAAAAATATCGCCCCCTTCTGACAGCTCAGACAGCGCAGGAAATCTAGGCTCGGGGCACCGTGACGAGCGTGTAAATTAAAGCCTGCAGGTCTCACACTGTGCGTGTGACTGCGTCACCCAGGGACACCCGGCTTCTAAGTGCCTTTAAAGGACTACACACTTCTGACACCTTCGAGGGCTCTGGGCTGGCCAACACTGATGTTAGACGGCCGACTTCAACAGTCTCAAATACGATGGGGGAGAGTCTGATCTTACACTGTCATTCCATAACTGACAGCTAGATTTAGGGCTGCATTAATAATTTAGGTCAGGCCTGAATGAGGTGGCAGGATCTCTCCGTTTCTCGCTATTAGTTAACGGTAAGAAGATTGCTCCACATTTCCATTCATGCGACATGTACATAGAAAGCACTTACACATCTTATTGTGAAAGCACTAGATTTTCAGTTGCTCACCTTTTGAGCCACAGGGCAGTCTGGATGTTCCAGTTGTCAAGGAACATCTTGAAGCTGGTGGCAAACTGAAGAGGGAGAGGAGAAAAGCTCGTTGTGGGGATGAGAGGAAACAGGCAGGATTCCCACCCGCAGGCTCGGGCCTGCACTGCCTGGGACGGCCTTCTGACCAGGATACACAGTGGGAATGTAGAATAGTGATACTTTACTGATCCCCATGGGGAAACTGCCTTTTCACCTATCCCATCTTGTTCTCCTCGAGATGCATATAAAGCTGAGGGGGCAAACGTGGGAGGTGCAGCACAGGGCTAGCCAGCATGCGGCACCCCAGGAGCAATTGAGGTAAAGCACTTTGCTCAGGGGTCCAATAGTGGCATCAGTCTGCCAGTTCCAGGATTCAAACCGGCAACCTTCTGATCAGAGGCAGACAGTCCTAACCACCTGAACCACAAACTGCTGAATGGACATCACAGGATGGCCAGGTCTTAATGGCCTTCTGGAGCCTCACCTCTATGTCCATAATTCTCAGGTTCGATATGAGGTCCCATCTGGGTGAACCATCTTTGTTGTAGCCATTGAAGCCAAATCCAGCAGCATTGTTGATGGCGTCAGCTGTGCAGGGGTAAAAGCACACAGGGAGACGTACAGGTCATGCCTACGTTCTGCCAGCATTACCTCATGTGGCTTCTTCTAATGATGTACATCCATACAGAGCACTGTGTAAAGCAACATGACAATGCAGTGACTGAGATCTGCACTGCCATGAAGACCTTGGAGTCACTTGAAGGGGTGCAGATCCGCTGCAGAGCTTCTGTCATTTAACCAGAACATTGTACAAACAACCTGAACACCGTAGAGACAATCTGAGCACGTCATTCTACCTGAGCATTGTGCAGATAACATGAGCTTGTCTTTGAACCTGTGTGTACATCCTGAGTAGCTATCCTTTTACCTGAACACTGTACCGGCAAACTGAGCTCATACACTACCTGAACACTGTGCAGATAAACTGAGCACCTGTCCTTCAACCTAAACATTGCTCAGAAAGCTCCCAGAGCCAAAGACATTGTTGCATCTAAATGCTTGTAGCGATCAATACCTATAGGGTTGTTTATTGTGCTGAATTGAAGGGTAATTTAAAGTAGTCCAGCCTTTGGAAACCACAATAAATAGAGGCATTAAAGAATACCTTTAAAATGCCAAGACCGCAAAACCGTGGCGAGGGCACACTCACCCAGTGTCCACACAAAGTAGTACTTTGGCCGTGTGGTCAGCATGGAGAGGTACAGGTAGATCACCTGGCCATAGAAGGGTGTGGTGGCGACGAAGTCGTCATCGATGTTGCGCTCCACGGGGAACACTTTGCAAACGGACAGGAAGACCAGCAACGAGAGCATGCAGACGCACAGCTTCTGGATCACGTCCACCTGAGGGCAGAAAACAGTGCCGTCATCCGGCGCCCTTTGAGCCAGGCAGAGTCATAAACACGGGTCACTGCCCAGACCCAAAACAAGTCAGGCTGAGACCCGAAGCCCCGCCCACCACCCGCAAGCACACACTGGCCAGGTCACGTACTTCACACACGGTGGGTGATGCACCACCTCACTCAAATCCTTTGTCACTCAATTTCCAAAAAAGAAAAATCACGATAAATAATTCTTGCCCTGGAGAAACACCTGGTTCTGCTATTTTGTTTCCCACTTGGAAAAGACACACAGAAAAAAGAACAATCTGATTAAGCTATGCTTAATAATTAACATGAATGATTATTAAACACTGATAGGATTTGCTCTTTAACAGAAGAGTGACCGTTTGCAGTTAGCCCCTATGGCCATGAGCTCCTGCACTACGGAGGGAAAAGGAAAGCAAAGGTGATGCTTCATCAGATGCCTAGCTGACCTATACTGAGTGGGAGGAAGGGCTCCCCCAGTCCACACATGCCTGGACGCAGGCTACTGTGCAGCAAGTTTCTGCTGGCTGCCCTCTTTCCAGCAGGGGGCGCTATTTAATGCATCAATCAATCACAGTTGTTCAATAAAGTCCCTCATCCTCTAACTCTAACAGAAGATGACCAATCCTTTTAGGGCATGACATGACAGCTGTGCGGAACAGCATAACAGCATAACATAGCAGCTGAAGGTAAAGTTTTATGTTTGGTTTATAAGAGAATTTTCCAGTGTTTTGCCTTAACAAACATACCTGGTCATTATGATCTGGCTGTTGTACTCTACTCTTGTAGATCGTAAGCAGAGTTGGGTAATTCAGGTCCAGAGAGTAAAAGTCCAGACCAGGATTTTGTTTCAACCAATCAGTTGAGCATAAACAGTCACAGTCACAGAGTATTCAACCTGAATTACCCAACTCTGATCGTAAGTCTTGCTTTGCCATACTCTTTCAACTTCCCGATTCATAATTTAGCAATGCATTATGGGGGCACAGCCAAGGCCATTATATACATTTGACTTTAGGCCAGAGAGGGGACAGGAGGGGGGCAGCGGGGGGCTTACCTTAGGCGATGGGTCGCTCTGCTTGTGCGTCCCGTTCACCTTGCCATTGTTCTGCAGGTGCTTGGCGTGGTAGGACCTGCCTTCTATGAAGGCGATGTAGTCGTTGTAGGAACACGTGGGACCCGCTAGGATGCCCATGAAGTTACAGTTGTAGCTGAGATACTCCAGGAGACTGGGCATCCGCCTGCAAGGGTAGCAACAACAGACATGGAGATTTCCCCAGGCAGAAACGAGAACGGATCCAAGTTAGTGCAGGGAAAAAGAACCAAAAGCAAGTGTGAACACTTAACTGATTTGTCTGCAACCTAAAACCATGATAGATTTCTTCTTCTTTGAATGCCCAATACATTGTGGCTCAGTGACCTCATTTGATTTAAGAAAAACAATTTATAGGTAGGCGCCCAGACCTGTATTTTAGGTCTAACATTCCAACACAAATCTGTCCTTAGGATTATTTGGATCAGTTCCATGTATATATTCTACATTTATCTCAGTCAAAGCCAAGATAGTGAGGCTTAAAAACTGCATTTTCCTATGACTATCGTCAGACTGCTGAATAGTCCGGCCCCTCCCAACCTAAGACAGACTGTTAAGGGACTAATGGCTCTGGACTCATAAATCTGAAACTATACCTGTTCATTTGCTGCACATTCCACTTCCAGGATAATTTGAACAATCTTTCCCCACAATTAGGTAGTTAATTGTATTTCTTATCTAGGACTTAATGTCATGTTTTTTGTTTACATGTCTTAACATATGCTATTTATTACTTTATCATTTGCACTATGACCAAGAATGATATTTCATCTAAGTATATAACCACATGCATCATATAACTATAGTTAGCAATAAAAGTTGCTTTGACTTGAATCAAGAGTCATTCCCCTTTGCAAACTCTCTTGAAAGAGTTTAGTGAATAGCAGGTCAGCCTGTGGGAACACTGAAACCCACAGCGGGCGAGATGCAGGGTCCTTGGTGAACAGCAGCAACATGGGAAATTAGGTTCTACCAGCCACTGTGGCTGGAGCCTTGGGCCAGAAAGTGGGAAGTTAGAGAAACTGATAGAAAAGCGATTCAACTAGTCAGCAACCAGAAGTCATTTTTGGGATCCATGGCACTGTTGCTCCCACCTTGTCCTACCAAAGTACAGAAGCCAAAAACCCATGTCAATGCGCACATGCGCCCCCTTTGGGTGAGGGACACAAATTACACCTATAGCCGCCCACCAGAACAACATAATGCAATGTAGCCACGGCGTACCTTACGGCGAGAATTTTCTGACTGGGGGACAGCTGCTCCTCTTTCCTGGCCATTCCTGGGGGGTCAGAGAGAGAAGCAGGAAGGGAAAGGCTGAGAGAGTCAAGTCGTACATCAGTGAGCAGAGCACTGGAACACTGCTCCTCCAAAGGATGGTGGAACATTACTGTGGTAATATTTAATCCGTGCCCCACCGGAAATGGCTTAATTAAACGGTGCGTGACAGTGCATAGCGACCCTCAGCACTGCAGGCTGCCATGCCTTATCCCTTACATTACAGGGATGACCAGGTGAGTAGAATGTAAGTCTATGTGTTTGTGTGTGTGTGTGACAGGGGGTGACAATAAAAACATGGCAAATATTTTAAACAACAGGAACTCACACATCAGATTTAAAAGGTCCCACAGGGATTTTAACTATTTTAAATATAAATATGATTAATAGAATATGACACTGGGGAAAATCTAGGTCTCCCTCTCCCCTCCCCCAGCCCCCTTGATAAAAACGTTCCGTGCAGAGAGCTGCAGGGAATTCCCACAATTCCCCAACTAAGTGAAACCACAGGTGTGACCCCTGGCATTTCGCCTGAGCTTATACAGCTTTAAGGGTGAGAGGCTGTGCTAACAACAGAGAGAGTCTTCTGAAGTCAGGCAGGTATCTGTAAATGCAGTGAGCTGGTAAAGGACAGCCCGGCACAGCCGCGTTGCCCACAGGAAACAGCACTGGAATTTTCCGGAACAATTCTTCATCTATTTCCAAATGTGTTTTGACAGTTAAATCAGGCCACAGAAATCAATTTGACACCGACTGATGAGGTCTCCTGGTTTCCGCTGGGCGGACACAGAAGAAGCAGGGTCTCTTTAAGGAGGACTACCTAGACCAAAGCGAGACACCCCCAGAGACACGGGCGGTGAGCAGGAACAAGGGGGGCACATCGATCTCCTGTGTCAAGCTAACTTTTCGGTATGAAGATGTGCTGCTTCGCTGACACTGCAGTAGAAGTCACAGTTTCCTGCAGAGAATGGTGAGAGAAGTGACAGTGACGTCTGGGGTGGGGCTCTGCGCACTTCAGAAGAACAGGAAACCGGATGGTTCTCTGTGATGCACAGATCTTGTTAGATCAGCACCCAGCTGCTCTCTACCACTCTGCGCCATCTTCTCAGCCTATCCTAGGCCAATCAGGCAGACACCACTGCAGAACGCTGAGGCACGTTACAGAGGAGGATGAGGCCTCGACGTAACGTCAAAGCCTGGGTGGATCCCTGCTGTCTGTTACAGCTGACAAATAATTAACGACTGCCCTCTGTGGATCGGAGGAAGGAAACGGGTCCCTTGGTACCTCAGTCTCCATGGGAAACAGGATAGCAAGACAGTGACTACAAACTGTCATATTAGCAATGTTCTTCAACACGAAGTATAGAAATGGACATTGATGCCGCAGTCTTGCAGTCTTGCAGTCAGTCCATGAGGCTGGTTCAGCTGGGCTGTAAGCATACCACTTGCTGTCCGGCCCAGCGCCTGCGTTGGTACTGCAGTAATGCAGAAAACACTTGAGGAGTTTAAACCGGCGCTGAGTTCGGGGTCACGCCTTCCGCTCCTAGTAAGATGCATGGCTTCCAGGTCAGGGTGCACGGCATTTAATTCACCGTCCCTCCAGCCAAACGGCTTCTGAAATGTCCGCTGTGATGTACAGGGTGGAGGGGAGGGGTGATTTAACGGGTCCCCTACAGGTCCGTGCCCTCTCAACCAGCCAGGCTATTCAGCTCCCTCCATTTATAGTGAAGATGGCAGCAGTAGGCCAGCGGTTTAATTATCCTGTCACATTTAATGTCTGGTGGCAGAAGGTGTCCAACGCTATGCTGTAGTACCTACATAAACCACCAGATTGCTCAGTAAGCACTGCGTAAAGAACACCCGCCTAAAACCTTTTCACTAAGGTCAAAATGCCACAGGGTTTTACTATAATTTTTCTTATCAATGCACCATAAGTATTATATTTATGCTCCTAGGTCATTACACAGGGCCGGCACTGAAAGGCTGCAAGTCCGCTGAGAGTAAGGTCTAAGGCCTTCCAGAGAACTTCCTAAAGCACAGAAACAAAGGAGGGGGTGGGTGAAGAAAGGATGTGCAAGACCGACAGTACTCTCCGACTGTTCATCAGAGAGGATGGTTTTTGACTGCAGCTACTCAGCTATTAGAGTCACCCATGGCCTCGTTCTCCAATTAACAGGGTGACCCTACCCTCATTGAAAGGGCCATCCTTCCAAAAGCTACGGATACCATCACGCAGGCACATGTGGGGGGTTCGGGGGTGTGGTAGTTTTGTTCTGTGGTCCATAAATAGTGTGACCAACCCAAGGACCAAAGTGTGAAATGCCAAGCAGAGTCCAGTCACAATATTTAACATTAAGGATGAACCGACAGCCTAGCAAACGATAAGCTTTACAGTGATTCCATTTTGTTTTATAGATCCTCTGAATTATCACTAATTAATGATGAGTGGGGGGGTTGGCTGCTTCACCCAAGAGCCAATAAAATGACTTCAACATGCAATCGGCCTCGTGTGAGACAAGCGATCTGGATTAAGACAAGGCATCTGCAGCCGCCGCTTACCGTCGTGGATCTCAAATGCCAGACTAGTGATCTTCTGGGTGATGACCATCATGGGTCTGCAAAAGGGGGCAGGGAGGCAGGGGTGACTGGGCAGACACTCTCCAGGAATCACCATCATCACCATCACCATTATTACCATCACTAACATCACCATCGTCATCACCAGTATGGCAGTCTTTACTTGGATTACATTTTTCCTTATTTTATTATTTTTATGGCTTTCTGGCTAAGTATTTTGTGACAAAAAAACTGTTTTGCTCAAGGGACACCAGCAGCAGGATTATCTTCCTTAAGTAAAGTTAAGTAGCGTCTACTAGCCACAAAGAAATGTCTTACAGCTAACCAGGACAATTCACTGTAAAGTTTCCACTACAAGTGAGAAACTGCTCACTGTAATTTGATGCCCACGTACTGTATCAGCCAGTTAATACACTGACCACTTAAGTCCAGCTACTTTAATATAGCGAGAGTTTATTTAACTAGTCAAGTGAAGAACGGAAAGGGATTTCATTGGATGGCTCATTTGTTCATGTATCATTTCTGCCCCTCAGGCCACAGCCTGGGCTGCCCCCCTCCTTCATCCTGAAGCTCCACTGCAGTGCTCCATTATTCAGCTAAACATGCTATTTCCAACAGTACCCCACGGGGGTGCGTTTCACAGCATACAAAGGTTTTTAATTCCAATTATAATAAATGACAAAATTAGATTTAAAAAAATCTGAATTTTTTTATATGAACAATTTCAAACCTTCAAAACATTATATTTGCTGCTGCCGTTTGATGACAGAAATGCAAAAAGTTAAATGTCCAATTCCTTGCCCGTCTACTGCCAAGCCAAAATCGTCGTCTGGAGCTCAGCACAAGGCCTCCCCTGAGATGAAAGTGTGCCGGTGACTCTGTCACCTCTGCGCAGGACGGCAGTGACGGTAAGGCGGCGGAGCGTTACCCCGTGAAGTCTGCAGAGTACATGCCGTAGTCAAAGACATAGACCCGGGTGATCTGGCATATGCTGAGGTACCCCAGGGCCACCACCAAACAGTACCTGCCGGAGGAGCCAAACAGAAAAACCACCATTTGTCATCAAGCCACAGAGAAGAAGCAGGTCTTGTCTGAGAGACCTCTAAGGGACGGTGGCTTGCAGCAGTAATGTGTACGCAAACTGACCTTTCTGTTTTACATCATGCTAATTATGGTAGATACTGGTTGACTGACCATCGTGTAGTTTGGGCAGCTGGTGTCTCTAAATTGCCCATTGTGTATGTGAATGTGTGCCCTGCGATGGACTGACATACAGGGCATCCAGGGATAGGATTCAGCCTCGCACTGCAACAACACATGGAATATGGATGGAAGAGCCATTTAGTATATCGACTATGCATTTAAAGTATGCATACTGTAGGAAATGTGCATAGACTGTCACACCACACATAAACTCTATTAAGGCAAGGATTAGCAACTTCACAGCACAGCTCATCTGCATTTATTTATATAGCAGATGCTTTTATCCAGAGTGACGCACAATTGAAAGGGCAGGGTCAACCAGTCCCTGAAGCTTACTCAAGAGCGGCGACATCACTGCCAGCGGTGGTATGTGAACCACGACCTTTGGAACATGGGCACAGAATGCTAACCCGCAGAGCGACGCACCACAGGGCAGCCACCTCAACATCACATAGGGTTTACATGCCAACTGTTACAAGACCCCTACCACACGCAGGGTTCCCCTAGGAGGCTAGGGGGTGGGGACAGTGCCTAAGAGGCTCAACTTAAATTCTAGAAGGCCTTACACTCTAGGTACACCTGCTTTACTCAAAACTATGAAGATTCATAAGACCACTGTTGATACTTACCCCGCATCTTGTTAAGACAAAACCAGTTTGGCTGGAACCAAAGCAGAACCACATGGTCGGTTTCGTCATAGTGACTCTGGTATTAATCACCCAGGGACAAAACAGGAGGATCAAACTTTACTTCTCTGTCAGCACATCCCACCTGGACCAGGCTGGCGGTCCTCCCCCAGGAAGGCGCCGTCCCGCATGTGCAAATAAACCCACAAGGAAATGATGGTGCGCGGATCGCTCCCTGGGGTGCCTGTGCGGAAGGATGGCTTCTTGCTGGCCCTCGGCCAGCCGTGAGGGAGGAGGCTTCCCAATAAGTCTGCTGGGAGCCGAGGTACTTTATGATACTCTATAAGGTACTGGCTGGCTTCCAGAAGAGCCAAAGTCAGGGGACGAGGCTGGGGACGTCTGAGCACCTGCCCCTTTTGGCCAAACAATCAGAAGTGCTTCCTTTTAAGGTATGGAGTGGCCCTTTTCCATGAACCCCCTCCTCTGGAAACCCCCCCCCCAAAAAAGCCTCTGCACGGCACTGTACATTACTGTCAGTGTATAAGCAGTTAATGAAAGTGGATGGGTGGATAGATGGATGGATGGATGGATGGATGGATGGATGGATGGCCATTAACTAGTTTGATCCTGGTGGTAAGTGTGACACTGTGGGAAGTACAATTGTACAATTAAGATGTTGTTTTCCATAATTCCAAAACCACATGTAAAACAAGTTCCAATGTCTTGATCTAAATCCTTTAACTGATGAACAGATAGATACAGAGACTGGGCAACTTCACTGTCTGACACTATAATTAACATTTTGAGTTCAGATTAGTTCCTTGTCCCTTCCTGTCGGAATAAACAGGAGCGCTGCAGTCAGCTACAGAAAGGGAGCATATCAATCAAAACATCGCACGAGAGGAGTAGCAGAGCGCAGGGGAAGCGCTTTGGTCTCCATGGAAACACCGATACCAAGCCTTTGAAGTGGAAGCCAGTCCATCGTTTTCCTCCCGGTGTGAGCGCATCACTTCCCCCATTATTGCCCTGCTGATTGGCACAGGGAGCTGCAGGGGATGGTGTAGAAATGAGCTCTCGGCAAAATGCCTGCCTGATAAACAGACACATGTCCGACACGGGTGCAGAGTGACTGCTGCCCAGAAACAAGGGGCTACACCTCCTTCTTAAACATGCCAGCTGACGCCCTCATGACGTCACCGCCGTGCTGCTGTGCTGTGTTTTCTTCACAGGCTGCTGCCCTGACGCACCTTAGCCGGCGCTGCAAAGCCTCCCCCCAGAAGCTAAAAGCGCTTCTTAGCTTCTCCGTCTGAGGTAGAGATTAGCAGGAGTCCCAGTGGGCTGGCTGACCTGCCCCCACTAACTGCCGCATCCTCAGTGATGACGCAAACATCTCCGGCTCCCTCAGACGGCGGCGATGAAGCGAGATCCCAGCCAGCTCATACTACCAGCTGGCTGCCAGGACCTTCCTGCGAAAACCAAAGCTGTGATACTATTCCTGGAGTATGTCGCTCCCCTGGGACATTTTATGGGGAGCCACCAGGGGGCTGCTGCCGGTCTCGGATAACGCCCAGGGTGATCCGAGGCAGCGCTGAGCTGATTTCGGAGATATTGTATGTGCTCAGCCCCAGGATAGCATTCGGCCAAACTGGTGACCCCTCATAGCTGGGAGCAGCATCACTCATATCCTTTCTGTGCGAACAGGCATCCCATCTCTGGATTACCAGGTCCAAAGCAGGAGGCTAACTGCAGCTCGCCTAAGCTCCTCAGGAAACATCCTCACCCCAAGGGATGATGGGAAGGGGAGAAGGACTGCGAGGCAAAGAATAGAGAGGATCACAGAAAATGAAGGAGGAAGAAGGGAGAGAAGGATGAGGCGGAGGATAGACAAGGTCAAGGTCATGAGGGTATAGGATGTACGAGGGACACACAGCAGTCGGTGCAAGACGCTCCATCAGGTCACAAGCGGCCTTCGCTATGCTGAAGGAGTATCAGGGTCCTCTGTGCAGGGGCAGACAGATGACGAGGCTGCGATAGCTGCAGAACCAGCACAGGCAGAAACATTTCCAGCCCATTCACTGCAAATTTGCATATCGCCTAAGGAGTCCCTGTCCGACCAAGTTACCAATGACCCAGAGGTTTTTAAGAAGCAAAAGCATGATTACTCTCTATACCAATCACATTTGGATAACTATGACCAGCTCCAGAAAGACAGACAGAGAAAAGTGCTTCATGCAAGGTGACTCTGGCGCCCTGTGTACTCATGCCACAGCCATAGGACTGTAGGACGCCACCTAGTGCAATGACAACAGCAGGGCTGTCATGACATCTTACATCACAGACGGCCTCATAGCCATGAAGGTACATCCTTGGGGATTTAGTGAAGTTGCAGTCCTGTTATGCTACAGCTTCACGTCAGGGCCGTGGCATCTCTCACCCCCTCAACAAGTTTGTCAGACAGAACAGGGCTTTCAAAGACTCTTTATGTCTCAGCGACATGTTGGCAGGTACTTATAAGCGACCATTTATTACAGGCTGGCTGTTGTCAGACACGTAGGCAGCTTCTTTGTGAGGATCAACCACTCGCACGTCAGCCCAGATGACTGAGGAAAAGCCGAGGGTGTATAAGAATGTCACTGAAGGACTCCCAAGGCTCACTGGGTTCACACCAAGCACGCAGTGACTTCACTGGACCATATACCGACTTACTGGCAAAAGGCGACATCATGAGCCCAGTCTAGGGGAGACACTGTAAATCACGATGGATCAGTTTAGCTGTGCCGAGTGAACAGAGCGCCATTAAAAACACTTGTTAATGGGGCTCCAGTGATTAAGATCTCATTAGACTGATTTGGGTACAGTCATTCTTAAGTGCTGAGCAATGCTTTGCCTGCACACTGTAAGAATCACTTTTTCTCTAATTAGATTTTAGTATGCAAGATCACATATCAAATTTTCCACAGCCTGGCACTTGTAGTCCACCAGGGGAAAGGTAAAAGAACAGTGGTCAAATACCGACCATTTACAATCGCACAAGTATTTCTTTGATACAGGCAAAGAAACTGCACTACAGCACTTCAAAAACAACTCCTACTACTCTCTCTAAACGAAACTAAATGGATATTAAAAAAAGGGGGGGGGGGTGAATAAATAATTCAGACAGGGACTTACTTGTGCATGTGCTCCACACCAGCCAAAATCATGATGCCATATGTAATTCCACTCTGGACCAAGAAGTGCAGGGCATACCTGGAAGAGAGGAGGTCTTCTCAAGGTCAACAGTCAATGATACAAGCAATCTTCACATGAAGGAGATCATAATTCTCTAATCAGCAGTCACTCTAATTACTGTAAAGAGCTTAGTGTTGCCAGTAACGGCAATTTTTCTATGGATTAATCTATCGACTATTTTACCGATTAATCTAAATGATCGATTTTTATTTTGACAACTACAAACTGTATGTTATTGCAGGGTTTTAGATAATGGACACGGCTTTTCAATTTAAAATATTGATGTCAACGTATTTTCAGCGTCAACGTCATTGACTACGTCAACTAATCGCCGTAGCCCTAAAAGAGCTTCAAAATGCTTCTTAGCAAGACAAATGAGGCATTTCACAGTAATCTTCAGACCTGCCATGTCAAATCATCTTTCAATCTTCTGAAAGACCTCTTCAGCCAAGATTTACTGGCATCTATAATTAATATGCAGATCATGAATTACTCCTTTTTAAGATGAACCAGGCAAGCTTCCTGCTATTTGGAAATTAAATTTAGAGGCAAACCACCCAGAAATCAAATATAACACTAATTACTGATGTCACATCCACACCATGGTCAAGAGGACTACAGCACGCTGGGTTTGGACAATGATCATGCTTAAAAGGAAAACAGAAATGTGACAGCTAGACTGGTGTTCCCCAAGATAGATTTCTACGTTCTGAAAGTGACAGGTAGATCAGCCCCTTTCTTCCCAGCACAGGAGAGAGAGAGAATCATCACTTGTAGAAGGCTGTGAATACACTCTGGCCCTCTGAGAAAGCAGCAGTTTTAAATCCTCTTTTCCTGACACAATGGTTTTACTCAGCTCTATATCACATGCCCCTTTGTCCAAGGCAACAGATCATGTCTGGCTCTATTTAACAAGGATCCACAAATTACAGACAGGCCTGGGTGAGAGTGCAATGGAGCACCAGCGAGCACAGGAACTATAATTTCCAGAGTGCAACACAGCACCAGGGAGCACATGGACTACAACTCCCAGAGTTCAATAGAGCAGTGGTGGGCACAGACTACGGTGCCTAGAGCAGGGGTGGGCAATCTTATCCACAAAGGGCCGGTGTGTATGCAGGTTTTTGGGATAACCTGTAGGTCAGCTGTTCAAACCCAGGTGTGAGGACACTTTCAGCTAATCAGTCCTCTAATTAGCAATCTAATTAGGGAGTTGCAGCGAAAACCCGCATACACACCGGCCCATTGCGAATAAGATTGCCCACCCCTGGCCTAGAGTATAACAAAGCAGCAGGTCGTATATTAACTACAGCTCCCAGAGTGTAATGAAGCAGCAGCTTATACGATCTGGGTTTAAGATGTAGTCTGGGCTGGGACACAACTGGCAGATGTATCACATGATGAACTGTTGTCCTGGACACACTATCCAGAGGGAACCAGCCTTCCACTGTATACCCACTCCATTATAGACCAACACGTACTGACATCTTGGACAAGGCCTAAATGGTAAGGAGAGAGACTGTGTGTGTGAAGCAAGCTTCCTCCAAAGATGGCCACCGAAACAAAAAAAAACCTATAGCGCCTTGCTTCATGACATCATCACTAAAGGCCCACAAGAGCCCTTACAATACTGCAGAAAACACTGCAGTTCCAGCAGCAGACTGTGGGGGCGCTGCAGTGCACCTGCACCGGTGTCCTGCATGGGTTCAGGTACCTGACGGGTGACCCACGAGTTTTGATATAACAGGTGAAAAATATCCTACTATGCAATTTGAGTGTACGGGTGCGGTTGGAAATCAATAGGCCATGGACTCTGCCTGAAATCACATACACACACACAAATTAGTCATTAAAATAGACCCTGAGGAATTGTGAAGAACAATAGCTAGTGGAGATTTGTAAGATATTGAAAATGCACTATATTGCAAAAAGTATTGGTACACCCCTCCAAATCACTGAATTCAGGTGTTTCAATCACTTCCATAGCCATAGGTGTATAAAATCAAGCACCTACACATGCAGACTGCTTCTACAAATATTTGCAAAAGAATGGGTCGCTCTCAGGAGGTCAGTGAATTCAAGCGTGGTACCGTGATAGGATGCCACCTGTGCAACAAGTCCATTCGTGAAATTTCTTTGATACTAAATATTCCACGGTCAACTGTCAGTGGTATTATGACAAACTGGAAGCAATTGGAAACAACAGCAACTCAGCCACAAAGTGGTAGGCCACGTAACATTACAGAGCAGGGACAACGCATGCTGAGGCACACAGTGTGCAGAAGTCACCAACTGTCTGCAGAGTCAATAGCTACAGACCTCCAAACTTTGTGTGGCCTTCAGATTAGCTCAAGAACAGTGTGTAGAGAACTTCATGGAATGGGTTTCCATGGCCGAGCAGCTGCATCCAAGCCTTACATCACCAAGTGCAATGCAAAGCATCAAATGCAGTGGTGTAAAGCACACCGCCACTGGACTCCATGTAGTGACAAATCATGCTTCTGTATCTGGAAATCCGATGGATGAGCCTGGGTTTGGTGGTTGTCAGGAGAATGGTACTTGCCTGACTGCATTGTGCCGAATGTAAAGTTTGTTGGGGGGGGATTATGGTGCGGGGTTGTTTTTCAGGGGTTGGGGTTGGCCCCTTAGTTCCAGTGAAAGGAACTCTTAATGCTGCAACATTCAAAGCCATTTGTACAATTTCAAGCTCCCAACTTTGTGGGAACAGTTTGGGGATGGCCCCTTCCTGTTCCAACATGGGTGAGCACCAGTGCACAAAGCAAGGTTCATAAGGACATGATTGAGTGAGTCTGGTGTGGAGGAACTTGACTGGCCTGCACAGAGCCCTGACCTCAACCCGACAGAACACCTTTGGGATGAATTAGAGCGGAGACTGTGAGCCAGGCCTTCTCGTCCAACATCAGTGTCTGACCTCACAATTGCTCTCCTGGAAGAATGGTCAAAAATCCACATAAACACACTCCTAAACCTTGTGGACAGCCTTCCCAGGAGAGTTGAAGCTGTTATAGCTGCAAAGGGTGGGCCAACACCATATTAAAGCCTATGTGTTAAGAATGGGATGTCATTAAAGTTCATGTGTGTGTAAAGCCAGGTGTCCCAATACTTTTGGCAATATAGTGTAAATCATGAAACATAAAGTCTGCTATCTGGTAAAATTTTGAAATCTTGCATGCTGACAGGTTATTATAATGCAGTTAAAGAAAATGTTTACCTTGTTGAGTTGTGGTAAAGCACATTATGTCAGATGTCCAGGATAGATATATAGACACCGACTAGTTTGCAGCGATGAAGCCTACTGTTGTTAATCAGTTAATCAACTCAAAGTATGTTGGACGTTTGTCTGAATGATTCTGTGTGACCTGTGAACCAATAAACATTTTTGTCCAACTGATGTAGTAAACTTTAATTTGTAACTGCGGTTCGAGTCTTAGAATGTATTTGAAGTGGGTTGCACTGAGTTCGAAATGAAATTAGCACTGCTGATGGATAACAGTAACATCTCTGCAGTCTCGGAAGGGTCATAACGTCGATGTTGACCTATACTGTTTTTTTGACGATATAGCATTTTACCACGCTATTAGTAAAAAGAAAAAAATTGTTACTGGAAAAGCTACAGTGTTATAAAAGTAGCTGCGCTACTGATAAGCTATAGAAAAAAGTAGTTAACTTAGTAGCATCGCTAATTGTAGTTGGCTACTCCCCAACACTGAATATGACTCACTAAAAGGTCACGTCAATGTGGACTTTAACCTAATCTGAAACAGCCCAAGCAAGGCTTATTTAGAGTTCTGCCAGGACCAAGCCAGCGTCCTGGGAAGACTGAAATGTGACAAACTGTGTTGTGTTTGTGTTATCGCTAAAGTCGTTGATAAAACACAATTAGTATTAGAGCTGGGGCGATATGGCAAAAAAAAATATCACAATATTTTCCCCTGTATTGACCGATATCGATAATTATCAATATTATAGTTTCACAATGCTGTTCCATGTAATAATGTAATAATCAAAATAATAATAAAATTCTATTCTATTCTGACAAATAGAATTGAAATTGAAATAACAACATTAGTAAACAAATACTTATTTTCCAACAAATTTTACTGTTTAAATACAAAATTCCCTTAAAATTATCGAACGTTATTGATTTTCAAGTATTCAAAGAAACCATAGCTCAAATTAACAAAACCATATAATAATGTAACAATGTGCAAAACTGTATAATATTGCAAATATGTTAATGGGCAAACATAAAATAAAGCAGGACAGAACTGACTGCAAGAAGTATCTTCCTCTATTCTTGGTCTCTTAAAAACTTTTTAAAATTCTGAGGTAGAAAAGTATCTAAAACAAACAAAAAACACTTATTCAAAAAAAACAAGCCAAATCATGGTTAGATTTTTTTGTCCGGCGCGGCAAAACGTCACCACGCGTCACCATGTCACATGGTACAAAATCCTCGCGAGAGCAAGATGACTTGGGACAGACCGTGCAGCACAAACTGGAACCGCCTCCGTAATGACACAACTTTGCCCTTGTTGGCTGAAGATTTTAGTCACACGCATGACATTTCTATACCAGGAAGTCCTAAAGCGTTATCTGCTATTTCTCCCGAAAAGCACATAAAGCAGTGAGAACTGGTTTTCAGTTCATTTACCTGGTAAAATAATGTTTAAATAAATTACATAAATGCTCTAACAGCACATGTCAGTTAGTGGTTTATTTATTGTTAGTTACTGTAATGTTGCGCTGCTTTATTTGTTTAATCATCTAGTCTGTGAAGAAGGCATTCAAGTAAGAATTGCATTGTACTCTGTACATGACAATAAAAACTTTGAATCCTTGAAGTAAATGTATTTGATCTTTTTCCTGTCAGCTATCTTTTTATACAGGGCCACTATACACAATAGTTTTTTCACTGCTAACAGTTTGGAAGAGGAGTTGGGTATTGTAAAAGAAGTAATGTGCATGCAGGTGATATTTGTATAGATTTATCTACACCCTTCTGGCAGTGCTGTCATTGCAGTCAGGTCTCGCACACTACGAGGAGTAGAAGTTGTCCGACTTGGCTGAAGTCAGTTTATACTCCATCACTGCAGCCGCCGCAGATCACGCTCCGCGTCGCGTCAGCTACAGACAGACCTAAGCCCAAGTCCAACGCACCCATTGCTTCTTTAAGGGAGGATGGGCAAAATTACAACGTCGTCGGTGATTGGCTGTTGTGCTGGCGTTCAGTAAACCTCTGCTCGATAGGCCATCGAGTTGTCTGTCTTAGCGCATTCTCTAAAACGGAACGAACTTGGTTGATCGAGTTTTATAGTCTGTGTATCATCGTGATCATCCTCATTTTTTATCGATAAAATATCGAGATTTTATCGCCCAGCACTAATTAGCATAAAGATGGCAACATGATTAAACACAGTTAAAATAATAAACACCTGTGACTTTACTCCTGTCTTTACTGTCACAAGCTTAAATGCTAAGTGATAAAAACACACATTTTGTTGTATATTATTAGCTTGTATAATTATCAGAAAAATATATTCTGTGATCATTTCTCCAGGGGAGCTGATCACGGACAGGAAACATGACTGTCGGGTGTCAATAACATCAGCACAAACAACAGAACTTCGTTTTCTGCTGTTGTGACTTTAAATAAAGATTAAGCCATTTTGGTAAAGACCATCACGTGGTCACCAGTAAAAGTACATAGGCATGGAACATCTAGAATGAGAATGGGAGCTTCATTGACAGACAGGGGCCACATCACCACATGCACGTGCACATGTGCAGTGCTTCTTGTCATGCTTCTGGAAGAGCATCTGAGCTAATGAGCCTTGTGGTTTTACAGCAGCCATTAAAGGCACAGGACGTTGTTCTTTGCAATAATCAGTAATTCAATGATTTGTTCGTCTTATTAAACCAGTGAAATAAGGGGAGTGATATAAACGTTAATTAAATCCACAGTGCTAGTGTAAGCACGTAAAAGGCCAATAATGCCTTTGACCATGTGTGCAAAGACAGGACATTCCTGTTGACTGGTTTCAATTAACTGCTGCGGTGAAACTACAACTGTGGGTACAATATGGCATACCAAATAAATCAGATACTGTACACATACTTGCACTTTATTTTAAGGCTAAACCTTCTGTAGGAAATACACCAGGCCTGTCTGGTAGCCTATTTTATATACAATATCTCATCCCCAGTCAGCCATATTCTCCACTGTGCACCTGTCATCTCAGCCATTACATTGCATTACAATGCAAGACAATAAATTACAATGCATTACATTACAATGCGATACAATGTAATGACAATGATCGTATTTCTTAGTCATCTCACTATGAATTCTTACTTATAACATCAAACACATAACAAAGGCCAGGGGGTGGATCCCATGTACTATACAAATGTTCAGCAATAAACATGCACTATAATAGCTGGCAAGGTTTGTCACAGCCTGGATAATTTGGTGACTACAATGCTTCATATTAAGCAGTACTTTGACTGGGGAAATCCATATTAGAACTTCCAAGCTGTCTACTTGGCATTTTAATATGTAAGGAATTCTAATTAGCCAAATGAGAGAACGTGCAGCAGAGATACCCTGTCACGGGCTAGAGCGGCTGCTTTATGGGGTCACGTTTAAGGGCCGATAAAGGGTTCCGGAAAAGCACACATCTCTCCGGCAGCTTTCGTGTGCAATGGCATCCCCCTCTGGCGTCTCACAGACGAACCTTCTTCTCAGGTCAGCCGGTGAGAGAACAAAAGGGAGAGTGAGAGAGAGAGGGAGAGAGCGTCACTCACCAGCCGAAGCAGAAGAGGGCGAAGTAGAAGCCCAGCAAGGTGGCCACCACGTGTCTGACAAAGGGGCTGGTCTTGCTGGGGTGAAGGTAGAGCCGAAACCAGAAGGCGGTGAGCAACGCAAACAGCTGGCAGACCACGAAGTTCACCTGGGTGGCACGTGCACACACAGACACACAAACACAGACACACAATCTGTAGTTATCAGTCTGCAGGTAAACAACACAAGTAAGAATTTCTCTCTGGGAACAAAATACATCTGATCTTATCTTAATGTCAGTGTACTCAGTACATGTGACAATTACATTTTGAATCCTTGATTACACTCTTTGAAGTGGCACGTTTGTTAAAAAACGCAGCGGGAACAGCCAACATCATGATGGACCCAAATCGTTACATAGGCACCTTTGAGGGGCCCGACATAACCCAAAGAGGAGATCTGGGGAGATGCAGAGCATTCGCTTGCTTTCCATTCAAACAATGACCTTCTCAGGGGCAGGAATCCACTGTAGACTCCCCTGCCCAGTGACTAGCACTGGATACATGCTGAGTTATTTGGGTTATCAACAGAAGAGATCAATGGAAGGCCCTGTCTTCAGCATTAAAGGGGACAGCACTGGACCTCTGTGGAAGCTATGGACCTTGGTGTGGGCCAGGGCAGCCTCTAAGGAAGCCGTGGACCTCAGTGTGGACCAGAGCAGCCTCTAAGGAAGCTGTGGACCTCAGTGTGGACCAGGGCAGCTGCTAAGGAAGCTGTGGACCTCAGTGTGAACCAGTGCAGCCTCTAAGGAAGTTGTGGACCTCGGTGTGAACCTGGGCAGGCTCTATGGAAGTTGTGGACCTCAGTGTGAACCAGGGCAGCCTCTAAGGAAGCTGTGGACCTCAGTGTGGACCAGGGCAGCTGCTAAGGAAGCTGTGGACCTCAGTGTGGACCAGGGCAACCTCAACAGAAGCTGTGGACCTTGGTGTGAACCAGAGCAGCCTCTAAGGAAGCTGTGGACCTTGGTGTGAACCAGGGCAGCCTCTAAGGAAGTTGTGGACCTTGGTGTGAACCAGGGCAGTCTCTAAGGAAGCTATGAATCTCGTGGTGGACCAGGGCAGCCTCTAAGGATGCTGTGGACCTCAGTGTGAATCACGGCAGCCTCTGTGGAAGCTGTGGACCTCGTTGTGGGCTGAGGCAGTCTCTAAGGACTTTCAGGAGCAAAAAGGGCACCTTTCCGAGATGGCTTTCCTGGACTTCCTGTAGTCTGTGGATGGCCACTGCAATGTACCAGGAACCCCGGCTCACAGAATGCTGCTCACACACACACACACACACACACACACACACACACACACGGAAGCTTCACGGCCACCATCTGCATCTTAATATAGAGCCTGAACGCAGTCACCTTGGAGCACCAGGTCAGTGCAGGCTTTGCTAACATCACAGAGGCATGGAGGATACAGTTGCCACCTGTGCCATATTTTACACAATCATCCTGTATTTCTGTGTCCCGATTTCAAACAATATGGGATTTTCCCAAATTTTTTCGTGATTTGCACCCCCGATCAACAAATTTACTCATTGGGTTAAGGGGGGGGGGGGGGGGGGGGGGGGGGGGGTCAGCACTTATTTCTTCAGATTGAAAGAGGCCTCTTAGACGGTAACGATTTATACATATATTATTGTTTAACAATCGTCTTTCAATGAGAGCAATCATCTTCATTAATTATTTACATAGCCAGTGGTTTAGCCATGTGTGGGAATCCCTGCCTCTGCTGGAATTCAGGAAGTGGTGACAACATACGGATCTTACCCGGGAAAGCCCGGGACGGGAAGGCCGAACGGGGAAGAGCGATTCCTTAGGCACCAGAGAGGGCAGCCCAGCATGGGAGCCGGTCTGGGACAGAGCTGCCCGTCCACATGCAGAGATGTTAGCACAGCCAGTACACAGGAGAATAAAGCCAAGCTGCCATCACTAGGCAGGGTGACGGCTCAGCAGGATCAAAGGCAGCCATACCGGCGATGACTGCTGCACAACTCAGGACGGTGCTTTTCCATGCACCCTGGAAGGTAGCGCTTTCATGAAAAAGAGAACAGAAACAGAGGAAGCGCCAGCGACTTCTTGAGAAGAAAACGCACAAGCCCGATAACTGACAGACAGCCTCCCCCCCCCCCCCCCCCCCCCACCAAAGCAATCACACCCTACTTCATTTTTCATCTCGTTCGTCCTCTCATGGAACAATGTGCATCGATCTCAGTAAAACGTTTAATTACCCTTGTTACGAAGGTCAGCAGTACCACAGTCACACAGAGACTGCCAAGAGTGTGTGTGTGTGTGTGTGGGTGGGGGGGGGTTCCTTTTTTAAGATTATTAAATTGGGGGTTCGGTGTGCTAATACCCCACTGGGTATAGACGCCAGAGGTGTTTCTGGGTACCAGCCAGATCTGTATCCTTACCTGAACCCTCAAGTTACCAGTGAGAAGTTGGCTTAACCTGACACCGGCCCTTGACACACTAGATAACGTGCTGTGTCCTGCAGACCAGCTGTTCGATAATGACCAGCCGCCAGCGGCAGCCACAGCAGGCCGACGCTGCGCTCCTCTCTCTCAGGGCCGCCGTCTGAGGGAGCCTAGGGGCCCAGTCTTAAAGGGACAGGCCTCCGTATTCAGGAGGCGACCTGGTGCTTCACACGCTGCGCAAGTCACGGAGGTAAAACAGGCACACCACCCTCTTCCTCTGCTGCACCAATCGGACTATGAGACGTCAGACCAATTTAAAGCAACAACATCAAAAAACAAATCCATCCATCCATCTTCTATGACTATAACTTATCCTATTCACGGTTGCGGGCCCTCCAGAGCATATCCCAGCGGCGGGGCACACACACAACACCATTCACTCCTGTGGGCAACTTCGTAAACAACCTCAGCATGTTTTTGAAACAGAGTATCTGGAGGAAACCCTACAATGACATGGGGAGAACATGCAATCTCCACACACATGGACTCCACGTGACTCCATTAATCTACATGTAAATTTATAAATAAGATTTCTCAGCACAGCATATAAAGTAGGAACATTACTGGTCACAAACGTATGACTTGCACTAATCCATCTTGGGAGCTTAAACAATATTCTAAATGCAGCATTATATGCCACCTGAAGCCGTTTCATTTTTGCTTTGCTATAGCTACACCACAGATGTGCTGTATACAGTGGAGTGCAGTATGCTTTAAAAAGAGCTATATTTACATCATCTATACACATATGAAATTTATACACCAACATATTAGCTTGACCATACAATTTGCAGCACTGGCACATTACATCATCATCATCATCATCATCACATAAATCACTCCTAATGATGTGACCTCAATATCACCTTATCCACGATTTCTAATTCTTGATCTGCCAAGAAAAAAGGAGGAAATGCTTGCTTCCTATCCTCCTTACTTCCGGCAATAATGACAACACTCTGTTTAGCATTATACTTAATATCATACAGTATTCCATATCTGGAACAAAATTTAAGCGACTGATGTAATCCAGCGCTATAAGGAGAGAAAACCACTAGATCACCAGCTTACATCAGATGATTGAGGCACATCTCCCCCACCATACATCCTGTTTTACACTCATTTAATAATTTGGAAAGATCATCCACGTACAAATGAAATAAAACCGGCGATAAACTTCCCCCTTGGCGAACACCATTAGTCACCACAAAGGGTGCTGATATACTCCTGTTCCATCCAACTTGCATACTTTGATGTAAATACCAAAAATGCAGAATCCTAATGAAATATAAAGGGACTTTTCGTTCACATAATTTAGCAAATAATTTACCATGATTGATTCTATCAAATGCTTTAGATGCATCAAGAAAGCACATAAATATTGTAGAATTCTGACTCCTATATTTATTTACAATTTCTTTTAACTAGTGCATAAATGCACATATCTGTACCATGTTTACGTTTAAAACCAAACTGATTATGAGTAGTATTTATATATTCTAATAGCCTATTCAAAATAATTTGCTCCAATACTTTAGAAAATATGCTAGCCACCGCAATAGGTCTATAATTTTCTATACTGGATATTTTAGCAGTTTTATCTTTACCCACTGGCAACAAATATACAGACATCATCGAATCAGGCAATATGCCATGAATTAATCAGCCAGTAAAACACATAGCAATTAAAACTGAAACTCTAGCACTAGCATATTTCAGATGTTCTGCCATTATTTGATCAGGACCACATGCTTAGTTAGAAGGCGGTTCCTCAATAATAGACTGGACCTCATCCGATTAAATAATAATAATAATAATAATAATAATAATAAATAACAACATGTCTGATGAGGAGATGGATGTGTCACGACTGAATTTTAATTAGTTTTTTCATCAAGAGATAAGAGCCCTCCCTCACCATGTCTTACACAGCCCCGGTAGGGGGGGGGCTAGAGGATGCAATCCGCGTCGTTCAGCAGAGGAGGTGAGCGCCGCCAGGAAGTGACAGAGAGCAAGTCTGCACCAAAGTGAGAGACATGCGAGTCGGAGATTCCGTATGGAAGAGAAAAACAATAAATAACACTGGATTAGAGAGAGAATTAAAAAGAATAAAACCAGTGCCTTCAGTGGCCTGTACTACGAAGTGGGGTTACTGGCTTATCGGGGTAAGGTCAGATTTAAGGTAGTCTGGGCAAAATGTAAGTGAACAAATATGAAGTCCATTTAAACTGTGGTACCTTAAAACCGACAAGTTACAGAACTGTAAATATAGTAAAGCCTTCTGCAAAACAAAAGACTGAACCATAATCTGCAAAGAAAGCAGGCAGCTCATTCAGCACATTTTAGCAAAGCTAATCTGCAGTATTACTGCGTTACACTTAACACATGCATTTAACATGATAATAGCCCATAATATGCTACACAGTAAAAACATCCATCCATCTTCCAACCACTTATCCTGCTCAGGGTTGAAGTGGTGGCAAGGTTGGGGGGTGGGGGGTGGGGGTGTATGCAGCCTATCCCGGGCGGCATTGGGTGGGCATCCCAGGCTGGGAGGCACCCTGGATGAAATGCTGCAGGACACATACCCTGTTGGCATTTTAGAGACGGCAATTGTCCCACATGCATGTCTTTGAACTGTAG